ACTTACCACCAGCTAATCAACAGCCGAAAATAGTGGCCTTTGTTTCAGTGTTGGTTATAGTACTACGCAAGTTGTTATTTGCAGTTTCAACACAGGCAAGATGAAAGTCCTTGAAACTACAAGTGATGTTTTCATTTCAATGAGTTTATTTTCAAGATACATTTTTGTATCTCTTTTATCTTCAGTCTTTAGCAATAAGTATAATAAGTTCGTGGCCCTGTGTTACAGTTTGTTTTCCAGTGAAGGTCCAGCTTCTGCTTGGAAATGTTCACTGATAGAACTGATACCACTTGTTTGGGTTAGGTGTTCCAGTCACTGACCACTCGATGAAGAAAAACAGAATCCTACTCTGAGTTTATTAGATAGAGGTTTTTGAATCTTCTTGCTATGGTTTCGAAGATTATTAATGGTCGGAGCAGAAACATGAAACTTATTAACACCTAAATCGTAATTAAGTATACGGAATGCCAATATGAGGTCACCTCGCGTTCTACAATACGATAAGGGGAAAAGGTTTAGGCGATTTAAATGCTCATTTGAAGTAAGTTTAGATAGACACTTCACTAATTCTGTTCCTACACATTGAACACGCTCAAGCCAGTAAGTATCCTCAACAAGACATGAACCAGCTGCTTGGATAAAGTAATCTAAATGTGGTCTTACGTATGTGGTATAAAAAAACTTGAAACTCCTCCTCGTCAAAGTAACGATAACACACGAAAACTTTGGCAGCGTCTGTACTGAAATGCGTTGTTGTTCTCAAGTCGTGACTTAACATTACCCCTAAGTCTCTATGTTCCTGCACGCATGGAAGAGATGTACGTCGATAGTATACTGGTAAATGTTATTGTGTCCGATATGCATGAGCACACTCTGTCTAAAATTGATTTCCAAATTCTTAACTTTGAACCATCTAACTAATCCGTAAGGGTCAGCATGAAGATCAAAATGATCAGCCTCGCTTCCTATTGTTCTCGGGATTTTGACATCATCCACAAACAATAACGTCGATGACTTAAGCAATGGTGGTAATTTAATGACTTAGAGAAGGAAAAGTAGGGGACCTAAGATGGTGCCTTGGGGTACGCCTTTTTTGAAGTCACCTAAACTTAAATATTTATTGACTTTACGACCTAGAGTAAAAATTATTTACACAGTTGAAATTAAGGACTGATATTGGTTAGATCATCACTGGAAACCTGGTACTTCTAGATGGTCATTTCGTCATCGGCAATGCATTTCCCCAATCCTGGAGGCTGTAATCCAACTCATGGCCTTCGGTCTCATGCGAGAATGCTCAATTTCTAAACCACTTGGCCGGCAACCAACGGTATTATTGTCTAAAACTAATCAATCAATAATCTTGCGCAATCCATCATTCATTGCCTGTGGTGAGTAAATTTGTCATACCGAACAACAGTTAATCTTCACTGGTCACAGCTCAATAGAACTCCAGGATTTACATCCTGAAGCTAGTCACTAGCGAGCACATGATTGTTACTAGTCTAGAGGATTTGTGAAGATTGTGCTATTTTTTTGTGAGTTCTCATTACTATGGAGTCTGATACTAGAACAAAATCGCCGACCAGTGGTACTAGATTTCGAATGATGGTCTAGCTAAGATCAGTTCGTGATTTCGAAGGTGAAAATACTATAATCGTCTTGAATCCCTATATTAATATCTCTATGTTTATCGAAGTTTTGTTTAAATACTGAATAGTTTAAAACAAGTGGACCTTAATTGAAATCTCCCATAGATTGATATTGTGGAGATGATTAACACAGACTTACATTGTGAATTATTTTTAACATTATTCATGTTGATTTGTAGTTTATTCAATCATTGATTTCGATATTGTTGTTTAGCTTTGACCTTGAACTTTTCCGACACTCCGATTGCATGACCCATAAATTGCTATTCAAAAAATACATAACTGATCATACTACTCTTCGTTCTCATTCGGCCAAATACTATATTATCAGATCAATTATATGAGTTCATACTGATTTCTATATTAAATAATAATATAACTGTCATATACATTTATAGATCAAGTCTTTTCCTAAATACTAGATTTTATATAATAGAAAGCTTTGGATTATTTGTTGCGTTTTGTAATTACTAATTACACGTTATAATTGTGGCCCTGGTTATCGATCAGTATAACATACCGCTAACAAGAGACGTCTGAATTTCACTTGCGTATTTATATCCTTAACTGATTCTAAACGTTATTATATAATAACTTTGTTACTATTTTCGTAGAAAATGTAACTATCAAAATAGTAATAGTTAAATTTTCGTACAAAGCTGAAACTTGGAGAACTACAACAACCACTATCAAGAAGGTACAAGTATTTATCAATAGCTGTCTACGCAAGATACTCAATATCCATTGGCCGGATACCAATTAAGGCGGCCTGCTTGAATATCTGGGCTACCTGTTCCTGCCATCCGGATAATTCAACAAGTTATCTGTTTTCTTGTTTGTTTTAACACATCATTATGCCTATTAGTCTCATAACCTATTCAGGTGTGTTTGTGAAAAGTTTACGACATTTCGCTGTACAAGTTACAAAAGAGGTCAATCAGAAACATAATGGTTATTGGCAATATGCATCGAAATGGATATACATTTATCAGATGTCGATTCCTGAACCGCTAACATCTAACTGGCGACCAGTCAATATATATCGCAAGGAACTGATCAAGAAATAAGAAAGGAAACTTGTTGAAATACTTTGTGCTGAGAATTCTATATTGTACCAAAAATATAATATTGAATAAAGCCACTAATAACAATAATAATAATAATAATAACAGCCTTTTGTGGGAGAGAACCAACCAGCTTCCAGATGAAGAGTAAATTAGGAAAAGACGATGGAAATGGATTGAACATACATTGAGGAAATCATCAAACTGCATTACGAGGCAAGCGCTAACATGGAATCCAAAGGAAAGCGGAAAAGAAGAAGGCCAAAGAACACATTACGTCGGGAAACAGAAGCGGATATGAAAAGGATGAATAAGAACTGGAAAGGATTGCTTGGGACAGGGTTGGATGGAGAATGCTGGTGATCGGCCTATGTTCCTTCACGTGGAGTAACAGGCGTAAGTAACATTTTCGGTCTCCTACAGTATTTATAGTCATTGCCTTACTTCTATGACTGAAGGAAAATGATGTTTAAACTTGTGTATTATTGATTATTTGTAGGCGACGCATAAACCGATATAGAGAGAAGAGAAATAATCAAAATTATGTCCTTAAATATATATATATATATATATATATATATATATATAATTTTCATTTGTCTAAATTATTCATATCAGATTATTTATGTAGGCAAAATGATCACTTCGGAAATAAACAGTTATAAAACTAACTAAACACTTAGATGTCCTTTAACTAGAACAATAATAACCATCCTTTTGGAATATAGTACACACGAACGTGAAAACTGTTCACAAATGCAAGTCACCATGGCATTTGATTCATAGCCTTCTGTACGCTGTTTCGATTCAAAGTATTGTTTACGCAGTTTATAAGTTTTATAACGAAGTTCCAATCTATTTTTGAATAAGGTTTGCATAAAAGTAAACTTATAAAGAATTTAAGCATGATGAATTAATGTTATGTATATGCTAGGATGATACGATTCAAACGAACCAACACGTCATCGATCATGTAATTTTTTATATAACTATCCAATCCTAATAAACATTAAGTTAATTAAATGCATTTGTCACTGAAGAACACAATTTTTAAAATTATGCGCCAAATTGTTTACTCATCTTAATTCTTTCACCATAGTACCATCAGTCATTGTGTAATAATTTGACGAAAAATTCAGTTTTATAGCTGTTTCCTCAATTCGATTGTGACAGTTCCAAGGAATAAACCATCTCAATCTCTAAAGTTTACTTCAATAATTATATTGAGTGTTTCTCAGTCAATCAGTCAGTTACAATGTAGGACCAGGCACATATATGCATCGGTCCAAGTTGCCACACCACATTAGCACAAGATGAATAACAAATTCAAAGGGCAGTTGCTACAATGGTAGTGAAAAAAAGATTTCATATAAGGATATGATAAATGGAGGAACAATTAGTTCGTAGAAATAAAGTAATTTTAATCTTTCGGTTTAAGGGAAGGCAAAGAGTGTATACACCTACAACATTGTGGCCGATTTTGAGCCATGTCACACAGTCTGCAAGCATTGGTTACGATAGTCGCGCCGGACACCACTTGAGGTTGCGAAATCAGATGAGTTCACCACAAGCTATGACTCGACTGGTAGTGTTCGAGTAAAGAGCCTCCATAAAGTTTATGTACTTCTGAAGTAAGCCTTTCAATGACAGACACTACCACAGAACCTTTCGGTTTACCGAATCAAATGCTCCTTTAAAGTGAAAAAGACCATCGTTCTTAGACGCTGATAAGCATGCCTGTGTTCTAAAATCTGACGAATGGTGAATATGTGGTCCATGCAGCCATGGTCAGGTCTGAAGCGGGAATTAGAAAAAGACTGGTGTTCCGTAAGATATACATTGAAGAAATCATCAAACTGCATCACGAGGCAAATGCTAACTCGTAATCCTTCAGGGGAAAGGAAAAGTGGAAGACGAAGGAACATATTGCGCATGGAATTGAAAGTAGATATCAAAAGGGTGAATAGCAATTCGAAACAACTGGAAAGGGGAGCAGAACACAGAGTTAGTTGGAGAATCATGGTCGGCGACATATGCTTCTACACTAGTGGTAGAAGGCGCAAGTAAAGTGAAGTAAAAATGATAACATAAAAGAATGAATCAAAAAACAACATTTTATCAACTAAACTTATACATTTGTACATTCGATATCATTTAGGCTTCAAAAGTAATCAGTACTTGGATCGATATCGTTTCATGCTTAGAGAGTTAACTTATCTTAGTCTTATAGTTGGAATTTCCACACAGAGAAATATCTATATCAGTTCCAAAATATTGGACTATTGATTGAATAGCAAAAGATTTATTTTTAATTTAGATATACATTGAATTCACAGTCATAATGCTAAATTCGGTGTATGTGTCTATTCGTGAAAAAAAAAATCAATGATTGCTTACACAAAACACTTGTTCATCATTAACCTCATAAAAAGTCAAAGAATACAAGCAGTCGAAAGTCACTTTTTAGCTTTTTATTTATAGAAGAGGACGAATATGAGAAAGAAACATCAAAGTATTTTAGATCATTAAATAGTCTTTTTTTTGTTGTTGTAAAGATTGTCGAAAAATAAATCAATAAATGGGATACTTATAATAAATACACGTTTTGTGAAGTACAAAAACACAAACATAAGAAACATTTGTTAAACAAAGATATGAAGAATATAATAAAAATCAAATGTTCATAGGGAAATCTTTTTAAGGCTGTGCAGAAGGTTGTCCAGGTAGATATTGTCCCTGAAGACCACCACCAGGAAGGGGAACATGTGCGTCAGTATTACCTCCACCAACACTAGGAAAAGCACCATTACCACCCATTGAATGAGCAGGAAGCATCATGTTAGGAGGAGAAAATGCTGCATTTGGAGGCATTGGCATTGTAGGATAAGCGCCATAGAATGGATACATTGCTGGATAAGGAGCCATTCCTAAATGTAATGGGAAAAAAAAATCCAAGTTCAAACAACAACTTAGTTGAACCACATGACAACAAAAACCTATAAATAAAACTCATCACACAGTTCAATTGATCTTACTTGTCCCTTGTGTTTACATTAAAAATAAAAGTTATCTTCCAACTAAAATGGAAGTCTATGCCTAAATATGTAGAAATATTCAATGTTATCACAATGATCATTATTTTGAAATCTATTGAGAAAGAATGCACTATCTATTTCGAAAAATAAATTTTCTAAATTATTAATCAAATAATTTTTCTCCAGATGAATTTAATGAAGTTTGAGATTGCTACAGTACTGGATCCTATAAATTAAGCAGACAGTAATTTTTCATATCTGTTCAAAAAGACATTCAAATACAAACTATTTTCCCAATTGACTTTTAATAATCAAAAACGAAAATACATTCTTTTTTTTCACTCGATTGATTGTGGCAACCATCTAATTTACAACTGATCATAACCTATGTGTTGAAATAGAGGTCTTAAAATGTCAACCCTAACTAGGCGTGTGCTACTTATGTAGACAAAAGTAGTATATGATGTTAGTCGTGAACAGAATGTCTGGCAACAGAGAGACAAGATCAAACAGTAAAGAATGAAAACAGAATCCATTTTGTATGAAAATGCAAGAACAAAGAATATCTGAGTCATTTGAGACAATTGATGGACATTTTGCAAATCAAGCATTTACTATATGGTTGTTAGAGTTTACTAACTATTTCTGTAATTTGTTGTTAAACACATTCGATTGTTCCCACTGGTGTTCTTGTTCACTACAGTTGTATTCTACCTTGAACAATAAATAATCGATTTGGCAAACGTTTGAAAATCACTTGAAGTGAACTTTTAGGTGTGTAATTGACAGCTATTTCAATGACAAAAAAAGAAATTTAACGAAACTCAGGAATCAGTTATCCTAGTGATTTTTCCATAATATTTAGTTCGAGCTATCAAATATACATTAATTGCCATGATTTACAGGATTTAAGTCAACATGACTTGGAATTAAAAAAGTGGTTGCGGTCGTAATTTCATAATTCTAAAGCACAACAGGCTGAACTAGGTAAACTCTCATACAAATAAGTTAAACTTGTTTTTTTTTAGTTGAACTTTAAAAGATTATTCTGTGAGACAATGCAGCAAATGAATTTACATCCAATTTTAATTAGGTGGCTATTAGTAATAATTAACCGATTATAAAAGTTCACTATAGTTTTAATCTTATGTTATGTAATTAACTGATTATTACTTTGTTAAACTGACTCATAACAATCTAATTAATATCGGCTTTCTACGTACCCATAAAACACATACAATTAGTGTAGAGCTTTGATGAAGAAATATTTCTTCTCTAAACGTATCTTTTTAGTAATTTAACTGGTTGAAATCATGAATCAATTGAAGCTAGACCACCATCGAAAACCTGGAAGCACTGGACCGCCGTTTCGTCCTAGTAGTGCGCATCCACGATCCCGCCTCCCAGCGGGACTCGAACCCGGGACCTATCAGTCTCGCGCCAGGCACTTAACCAACTAGACCATTGAGCTAGCAGGCATCCAACGGTGTTAATGTCTAACTTCAACCAATCTACGAAGTTGCGCCACCGTACACCATTGTCTTCATTGAGCTGATATCTCACAACAGACCTGGTTGAACTCCACTGGTCACGGCTTCTCACTAGAACTCCAGGAGTATCTCTTGAAGTCAGTCTCTAGTGACCAGATGATTATGATGAGGAGTCCCATACTAGGAGGAAACGGCCATCCAGTGCTTCCAGGTTTTCCATGGTGGTCTAGATTCAATTGATTCATGATTTCAATCAGTGAAATTTCTAAATAAAAAAATCGCCACACAATCCCTTATGGTATCTTTTTAGTGTCTTAATGGGAAAATTTAGTGATGATTTAAAACAAGGAATAACATAAAATGTAGGATGAATAAAGCAGTAGTAATAATCAATCAGTAATCTATAAACAAGAAAAGTAAAACGTATAAAGTATATTAACAGCTCTTTTTTAAAATGACACAGAATAGCTAGTACTGTGATAAAATGAAAGGGAAATGAAACCATAAATAAACAACGAATTTTTTTTTCAAAAGATAAGTACACCATGCTATTTTCGCTAAGATGAACTTACTAAACCCTAAGTTTACTGAAATTATAATACTTAGATATTTAATGTTGATCTAATTTTCAAAACTGATAGTTTGTTATGGTCTAATTTATGTATTATGATTTATTCTTCTGATGTAAGAAATAATAGCATTTATCTTGTTAATTGATTAATAATATACAATACAGATGGATTAACGTATTGAGAGGAATGATCAGTGATCTTGTATTATGTTAGTATAAACGAACAGTGTAAGATGTTCCTAAATTATGTAAAAGAAAATGTAACACAGTTATCTACACGGTAACTCGAACACGAGAGAAAAGGCGTGAAGTGTTAAAAGAACGATTTACTCCAAGATTCTTCTACGTACACAGAATCGAGAGTATTTATAGCATTTCAGATGGTCTTGAAAGATTCTGGAATGATACTAAATAAAGTAGCCGATTAGGTATTTATCCAGTCAGAAATGTGACACGTGACTCTTCACTTCCTAGATGTTTCTACGAGTCTTTTACTTAGCGCTGATTAGATAAAATGTTTCACAGCGTTTTCAGGACATTTTTGGATTGTTTTGAGAAATACTTCGGATCTCATCAACACGTTTGCTCTTTGTATCCACTTACCATATCAAATTATATAAAACTATTAACAATCCTTTTATTTTAATGTTTACCTAAATATTTTAATGTACATAGTTTGTGTTCGACCTCTTCTAGAATATTGCACGTTTATTCTTAGTAGTGCGCGCATAAAGGATAAATTAAGGCTGGAATCAGTACAGAGACTATTTACACTACGTATTCTTGGAGCTGATTGTACTTTAACTTATAATTCTAGATGTAGAAAACTTGGGCTGGACCCTTTATGGAAGAGGAGACTCAAACTAAATCTTATCTTTTTCTTCAAACTACTTAATAAACTATCCTTCACATTCAATCACGTGATCCAATATGCAGAAACTTCTCATTATGAAACCCGTAATTCCTTGGTACTGGTGAAACAAACTTATTCTAAAGCATCTCTTTATATGAATTACTTTGCCTGTAAATTTTCTAGACTCTGGAATAACCTACCACAACAAATCCGTGCGATAAAATCACTCCTATTATTTGTTCGTTGCATCGATGCATACATCTCCTCTGAAAATGCATTGAATGCTCCAGCACCTGCAAGTGTATCTCATTCCACAAGTGTTATTATAGGAACTTTAAATGTTTAGCCATCTTTATTAGTGCATTCCCTAAGCAAAACTACCTACTTGCTGTCACTTAATGTTAACACCATACCCAACAAGTTTAACTAATTTGAATATCATCAACAGTATATCACTGTGTCACATAATACACGCATTTCGGTAGACCTGATTGACATATTTCGGTAATTACTGCTTTGTTGTTCCGTGCTCTCTGTTTTCGTTTTAATTTCTCTAGTTGTAGATATTTATCATTAATTCGATCTGGCACACGAAATGACCTTAATTACACCCCGTTCATAAATTAACAGGCTGTCCATTTAAGAAAAATTAAAAGTTTTCGGTTGATGCATTGGATCGCTGTAATACCTAAACAATTACTGAACTAGTAATCTTAAAACTCCTATCACATGTTTGTTCTGTACATATAACGATATTATTTATACCAAATTGATCATGCCTGTAAACTGGTGTGAATTCTGTAATGATTATTTTTTTCAGAATATATAAATTATTATTAATCAATTGCATAATATCTCATTTCATATTCTCAATAACAAAAATTCATTCTTAAGTTAACTATTGAACTTTACTCAATTTATTCTGTAAATCTATTCAATGTTATGATTGTTATTACGTAACGTTTCAGCATTAATTTTTATTCACTAGAAACATTCTTAAAATCTTCACATTTAAGTAACAAATAAATGCTTAGTTACTTTACAAACTTTTTCATGATTATTGTCATTATTCTACCAAATCTTATTAATATTGATATAAAGGTGGTTATAAATGATGATCACTATTGTTTCTATGTTATATGTAGCTAACATGAATTCAAAAAATCAATGATTTCATCTTATTCCCATACATAAAAATACGATTCTTTTTCAATAACAAAAAAAAACACACTAAACAACATACCACATAAAAAACTTCCATTCTACATTCTGCTGAAAACAATAAACATTAAAATTTTAATACTTACCATATGGTGAAGGTTGAGGCATCACAGGATCTAGAAATAAAATTAAATAATGGACCATGTATACATGAAATTATTCAGTAAGCAGATAACTACGATTGTAGGTATATTATGATTGTCAAGAAAAAGGTATTAATTGAATATTGAGTAATGGAAAAACCACAATGTACTGCATTCAACTGTTTAAACTTCTATCCTACTCACAACTAATATCAGTAAACAATGAAATGATCAAAGACATAGTTACAGCGTTACCTAATTAAATTCCTAAATGTTCTATTAGAAAAACATCTATACAGAATAGCTATATACTTATCAGTCTTTTAATATTGAGGGGTAGAATTCAGGGAAGTGTGAATCTCGTTTATGGTTATTACTGCGACATAAGGAACTAAGCTTTATGATATTTAGTAATTAATGTATATGACATATCATCTTAAAATATTAGCTACGGTAACAGCCTGATATCAGTTGTTACGGTAAATGGTAGAATGTAAAATAAACAATCTTAAAACAAATTGACAGATAAATCATAACATACAGCCTTGAGGATTCCATGCTTGTGGAGGCATCGGATATGTGGTATTATTCATCATGGGGATTGTTGGTGTTGGCATTGGAACTTGAGGATGAGCAGGAGGAACAGGGTTGACACGGTTAGCATAAGATGGTTCAGGTCGAGCAGGGACTGAACAAAAACAACAGAAAATAAAAAGTGTCAGTTAATTTTTAAAAAAATGGTCAGCTATTGTATAAAATTCCGTTAATTTTATCTTTCATCAACCACCTACAGTTTATAATTATATAAAGAACCTTTAATAAGAAGTCAGTAGGCAGATAAGGTACACAGGTAGATTGAAAATTATGCAAGTAAATTAAATGATTTTTAGTGAAATTTAATAAATCTGATTGTCTTATTTCATTGTTTCTTCTTGAAGTCTATTCTCTATGCTTAGTGTTACTTATCACAGATACTACAATTATTTCAAATTTTACGACGTTTATCTAATTAATTTCAACTCACTACGCTGATATGGTGTAAAAACTTAGTTTGACACACATTAGTGATAAGCTTTTATGTCAATTATGATTGACTAATTTTGCTATAATTACTAGTTTTCAGTTATCCTAAAAAGTAATACAAAAAAGAACACTGAAAAATTTCAAATCAATTAACTTATTTACCAAAGGGTTTTTAGAAATTCAGGAAAAAAAAAACAGAACTCAAACGTTAACGTAATCAAGACAGAAGCAAGCCAACAAGCAGGGACAAAAGTTTAAAAAAGAATTCTTAACTTACCGGATGGTTTCGGAAAAACTTGTTGATCTGAAACACGAACTCGGCTTATATTTGTTGTAATATCAGACATTAATTCATTTTTCTCAGTAGTACGTGCAGCGCAGAAATCTTCAATCTTCCAAATGTGAAAATGATGAATGAAATATACAAACAACAGTAAGAAGTGAGCACATTTGTTCAAAATCGAAATTAAAATTGTAACTGCTTTTTTAATATCAGTTAGACATATTAGCAACTCAGTCATCATACATTACGTAGTTACCGGAAATAAATTTGCAATAAGGTTGTTTAAATTTTTAGTCAATGATTTTTGTTGTTACAATGTTGTCCGATTTATTACTGTCGAAATCGTGAAATAATACATTTATCATTGACGTAATAAAACTATAGTTCAGAAACGAATCTGTACTTATTTCACTAGTACTTTACATCTGAATAGATTTCTCTTGACAAACAGAGTACCAAAAAAACTACAAAACTTAGGTTAGTATAAGAAAGCAAATGAGTGTAATGAAATTTTCTGTATCGATCCATATCCTTTGATATTACGAATATTTAATTGTAGATAATCAACAGTTAAATTAACTGAATTCTGGGTTAAGCGTTTGCGCGCGAGACTAGAGGTGTTGGGTTGGAGTCCCGTGTGCGGGATCGTGGATGTGCATCGCTGAGCAGTCCCATACTACGTCAAAACAGCCGTCTAATGCTTTCAGGTTTTTAAGTGTTCTTATTTATTTATTATTTATTTGGACACATAAATATTGGTACAGGGGGGCACCAAATATATATGCGCCACACAAAACAATGATAATTTGAAGAGGAGAAAGGAGAGGAAAAAGTAATGAACGTGGGGAATTATAAAAACAAAAGAGAGAGAGAACAATGGTGGGGAAACGGAAAGGTACAATCAGAAGAGATCTTTCAGTTAAGGAAGATACAACCACTTTTTATGAAGAAAGTAAAAGAAGGTTACAGCATGATCGCCACTGGCTTCTATTCTGAGCCATATCTGATAACGTCTCTAGCCACTGCGTTACACCGTCTCTCGGACCCCAACCAGGGAGTCGTGAAGGACCAACAGAAGCTAGCCCTTTGCAGCTTTCTTTCATACCACGACACCATGTCATATACTGACCACCTCTCCGCTTTTTCCAACCAGTCCCAGAGTCGGCAAATAATGCACGACGTGGAATTCTCTAGGACGACATTCGTAGAACATGTTCAAGCCACCGAAGTCGGTGTTTCAAGATGGTGACACCAATTTCATTATCGTCTCTGTGACCGAACACTCGATGCCGAACCTCTGCATTACCGACATGGTGTTGCCACTGGATCTCAGCAATCCTTCGGAGACAACGATGATCGAACACAGAGAGTCGTCTAACATCCTCAACTCGGAGAGGCCAGGTTTCACAAGCATAGAGCAAAACTGCTCTCACCGACGCGTTGTAGATCCGACCTTTTACAGCCAGACTAACATCACGAAGGCGCCAAAGATGGCCCAGATTGGCATAAGCCGCTCTGGCTTTCACTATACGTGCATTGATCTCATCACCCACACCACCACCAGCACTTATGCAGCTACCTAGATACACGAACTTCTCGACTACTTCAATCTGCTCACCATCCAGAGTGAGTACAGGATTAGAATCCTGCCAGTCTTGTAGAAGTACTTTGCACTTCGAAGGTGCAAAGCACATACCATACCTACGGACAATGATTGCCAACTGATTAAGTGCGGATTGCATGGCTTGGGCATTCTCGCACAGTAAGACAATATCATCCGCATACTCAAGGTCGAGAAGTCTTTCTCCAGGCAACAGATCCACACCACCATTACTTACATCCATCACAGCTGTTCGCAGAATGTCATCGATGGCAAAGTTGAAGAGGAATGGTGAGATTGGGCAACCCTGCCTATCCCCACTGCTCAAATGGAATAACGGAGAAAGGTGGTTGTATGCCCTCACTCTGCCTGAGGTGTTTGTGTCTAGGGCTTTTAGGATGTTAATAAGCTTCTCAGGCACACCCTTCTTCAATAGACAATCCCAGAGGACAGTTCTGTCCAACGAATCGAAGGCAGCCCTGATATCAAGGAACACTATGATTGTTGGCCTTTGATAAGTATGGCGGTGTTACAGGAACAACGTGAACCCTTTTTAAAGATAGGGACAACTATCGACTCATTCCATGACGTTGGTACACTCTCTAGTTCCCAGATCTTTGTAAACAACGTCATCAGTCCCTTAGTCAGGAAGTCACCACCATCTTTAAAAACAGCCGGAGGTGATTCGTCTGGGCCCGGTGATTTGTAACGTTTCAAGAGTTGGAGTTCCTTGCGGACTTCCGCCTCATTTGGTGGATCAGTCGTCACCGGTCATGGAGGGCAGGACAGTCTGACCGATGTTGCCGGTGCTTGTAAGCGGGACGTTTCGCGAACCCACAACAGACTGTACCCGCCATTTTCATGGCGTCATGCAATTGCAACCAATGCTCATCTGTACTTTTCGGTGGAATGCTAGCTAGCCTAGAAGCTAGCTCGGTTCGGTACTTACTATCAACAGAAGTTGCAGCCAGCTTGCTAACATCAATCCTTTGGTGACGGTCACTTCGTTGTCCACTGAAAAGTAAGGTAAGATTGGCGCAGACCAGGGCATTATCAGAGTCCAGATAGGTACTCCAAAAGGAGCGGCAGTCTTGTACACAACCGCGCCAGCGGTAGCTGATCGCGATGTGATAAATCTGAGTCCAGGCTTGAGATGCAGAAGGAGGACGCCAGGTGGCACATCGGCGATGACTGTGCCGAAAGTTAGTGCTAGCCAGAAACAGGTTGTGGTCTGTGAATAGTTGCAGTAGACGTTCCCCGTTATTTGTCCTGAGACCAACGAGTCCCCATCGACCACCTAAACGACTCTCTTCTGTGCCTAGACGCCCGACCTGAGCATTCAAGTCTCCGGCTAGTACAACAATATCTGTCGAACGCACTTTATGGAGAAGAACAGTTAGTTGGTGGTAGAACTCGTCCTTGATTGCATCCGGGCTGCAATCTGTCGGGGCATAGGCGGAGATGACGAAAAGACATCGTTTCTCACGCCGATTTCTCAGTTTGATGGAACTTTCTAATCTAACAGCACATAACCGACTGTTAATGGGGATCCAGTCGACTAGTGCTGCCTCAGCTCTTGCGCTTAGTGCGACACCAACGCCAGCAAGACCAGACGAAGATGCCACAGGGTCCCCGGATAAACGCACATAAAACAAGCTTTTTGAAGCGACAGATGGAGAGCGAACTTGTAGTACTTCACCAGAGTCTTGAATACGGGTCTCGGATAGACAACACACATCAATATTAAGACTTTCCAAAGACATAGCCAGCCCTATCTGTTGTCCGACCTGCATAAGTGTGCGAACGTTAAAGGCAGCCAGTTTGAATGGTGCACGTGGTTTCAGAAAAACTGCTTCAGTACTCGTATTCGGTAGTAACATACAATTTTCAACCAGGCAGTGACTCGAGAACGTTTAGATAAAGCTGAATTTTCACCATAGGCGAGCTGCTGTCTGAGTCGAAACGGATACAAAAAGTAGAAATAGGAGATAGTGAATAAATGACGTAGTAAATAATAATAATAATAATAATAATAATAATAATAATAATAATAATAATAATAATAATAATAAGAATACCAGTCATTTCAATGTTAGTCGGAGAGAAACGAATATTTTCTATAAGCAGATAATTCATCATAGTTTTAGTGTGTGGGCTGAGATACTGCCCGGGTGCCCAGACCGAAGCAGGTGGTTTTCTTAGGGGGCCACACCCCGAGCCTTTGACCTAAAGGTCTAGTCCACAAGGCAGTGGAGCATCGTGAGGAGATGCAGTCCCATGGAAGCCGGTGACCAAAAGTTGGTTCATACGCCATTTGTTCCTTCAGGATACTGGAGCCCATGTGCACCATAGAATTGGGATCCGGTTATAGCGCCGGACGTTCGCTTTTCGTCCTCTCATTTTCGTAAAAAACACTCGTGGTGCGAGAAGGCAGTGAGTAGGACTTCCCTGGCAGAGGCTGTATACGCGTGGCCGTGTGAGAGTATTTCGAGAGGGAGGGCGAACCCTCCCCGTGTTCTAACATTCATCGATCTATGATCTCAATCAAAAACTTAACAATCTTCACAACGCGACACAGATAGTTAAGTTATATATTCACTGAATGCTGGGATTCGTGTCTGTACGAAATAAGAAAGATTGATTCAGCAAAGGGTCCTCTTTTTGGCAAATTCATTTTCAAAGCTGTACAATCGCAAATATATGCACTTATTTTTCAGGATGATAACAATTACAATAATAATGGTAATAAACTTCTGTTAGACGTAGTGACAATGATAGAATAAACAAAGGTATCAAAACATTTTAAACAGGGATACTAATAATCGTTTGATTGTTAATGGCTTAAATATTCATCAAAAGATAGATAGGAAAATTATCACTGGGGAAAGATGGCTCAGCATGATAAGATAAAATTTTGAAATTGATATTAAATGTAATCAGAAAGATCGTAGAAGCAGGAATAAACCAGTTGGGGGTAGAAGATTTAAGAAGACGGCTATGAAGAAGAAAATTACAAGACATTAAAAACGTAGTAGAAGAAGAGGTTGTACCAATCACTTTGGCTAAATATCTAAGCCTTACTTTAACGATATATGAATCTAAATCCAACTTACGGATATACTTAAGACCTAGATTTAGGAAACGATAATTAAGGCTTTTAAGTACCTGTCATACTTAATATCACATCACATCAAACAAACTTGAGTAGTTGAATAAACATAGATTCAGTTATTCAACATCATTTCACTGATAGTGTTGAATGAAACTCTCAAGTAAATTGTACTAAAATGATAATGACCGAACAATAAGTTCCAGCTTCCAAACATAAGAAACACAACATTACCATAACAAATCAAAATTCCAAGATGATAGCACAAAGGTATCAGTAAATAAAGCTAAAGCCAAACAGTATATAATTTACAGTCACACCATGACTTATTTATTAAAGTTTACAATGACACTATATGAAGTAATGGAGAGTGCAGAATCAGTCGTATATTTTCCCACTAAAGATCCCAAAAGAGTAACTCTTAATCATTACAAAAAGGGAAAAATAAAACTGTAAGATATTTGTTTCACATCAACTTACCTTACACTGGGTATTCACACAAATCTCAGTAAGCTCAGCGTAAAATTTCGTGGCATCACCAACAGCTTCTTTAAGTGAAGAATACTCATCTGCAGCCAGATTAAGCATTGTCAATAGTCCTTTGTCTTTTGAATTACTATCGGACCCACCGTAAAACATATCAGCTTTTGTTTGTAAGTCATTTAATAAAGTTTCTTGTTTATTTAGATTATCTTGAATAAGTTCACGCACGGACACCATTTTTTCATCAAGCATATCAGAAGCAATTTGTAAATCAACTGTTTCATTATGTTCTATATAGTACGTCAATAGCCTTTTAACTGTCGGAAAATACAAATACACATTAAGTATCCACACAAGAGAAACTTATTCCAAATTAATGACTTGATTCATGAAAGTTATTAACAATAACAGAAAGTGATATTGTGAGATAATGGGTTTTAGAATTTGACTTAACACATGCAAAGAATTTTTGGATACGGAAATATTTTCACTTGAGATATGAACTGGGTTAGTATCTACAATAAGTTCCAGTGCATCACCCGTGTAATAAATAAAATTCTGTGTTGGAAATCATTCATTGGGTTGTGTCAATTCCTCAGTCTCGTGTGTAGCGTTCCATCTATCGATCTAGACTTCATTCATAAACTTAACAAACGAAATGTTTTTGTTCTGACTCGAGAAACCCTTCTTCACAACACTAATTAGCGTGCAACGCCAATATGCACAAGTTGACTTGGTAAACGTTTTGTAGACAACTTATTTCCGACTTTCTGATTTGATCTGATGAGAAGATAACCGTTAAACTAGGACTTTTTTATTGACTAATAAACTATTCAATTCTTCTAATGCTTTTGGCCTAAAAGAATGAATTAAAACCCTGTTAACAGAAACTGTCTATCATTCAGTAACAGTGACAATAAAAACAACTACTAACTATCAAACTACTATTTTAGATTGAATCAATCGATAGTTATGATGAAAGTTTTAAGTGAGTGACTAAAAGAAACTAAGTTGAAGAAAAATCTTCTCTTGACTACTAAAATAATACAATGAAATTGCACACACATACAGACACATACGCACAAATGTGTAATATAGTTGAGCGACTAAAAGAAAACGTGTTCATTTTAAGTAAACAAAACGCAAAATAATAATTATTCTAACAAATTGTAATGAAAGCAAATATTTGCTTTCAATTAATGCCAAAAATGATGAGGAATAGAAAAAAAAACCCAACCTAGTGTTATTCGGTTTCATTGTAGAACAAGGTTAATACCATATGTTAATAGTTTATATTTTCCAAATCCAGTAAATTAACAAAATTCATTGGTTGACAATGTTTTAACGACCAAGTGCTAATTCTCTCGAAATACTGAAATTAAACTCGAACTATGTGAACAAATTTCGTCTAACGCTAACTATTTTCAACTACACAAACAAAATATCGCCAAAGTGAAACGAATTAATGGTTTTCTTTCCTGTTCAAACAACTGTCCTTAATTACATCAAGGATAAATACCGCTCCAAACTTGAGCCAATAATATAAGCCTTTATTGTAAATTTGAAAAAAGTATTAGGAAAGTTGGAACTTTTTGAATTGTTATTTAGTTTTATTGTATGGCTAATAGGTAACTGTATCAATATTCCCCTCACTTGAGGCTTCCAGTAAACTTACTGTTTGCTTCACTCATTGCCACTTGTGGCACCATTGTATTTAAAGTATGACTTCTTATTTGGTTTGCTATGCGATCTGATAACTCGCGTATGTAAGTTAGTGAGTGTTTGAGATAGCTGTGCGCTATACTGTCTTGACTGGATAGGCTGGATGATTGAAACAATAATAATATAAGCTTAGCTACTGACTTATCTTCAGACTCAAGGCTGATAGGGAAAAGCTTGCGGATAAATAGATTAATAGGAGTGTAACTTACGTTGCCTCAAGGTTAACTATCCAGGTCAAGTCGGGATTCTGATTGGTTAATCTAGCACGTGCTTTCGATTAGCGTCACATGACTGTAAAGACCTTAGAAACGATACTGGATACGCAAGAAAGTGGCAAAGATTTTCGAAGACGTGAATTTGTATTTCAACTTTACACTAAGTATTGCCGTTTTATAATAAAACCACATAATTTCCAGCCATCTCACTCGAAGCCTTGACTCACATATTACATACATCTACGGCACCCCACAACCAGGACGTCTGAATATTAAAGCAGATTTCAGTTTAATAATCAATATCTATACAAACGGATGCCATATTATATTTTGATTATTTATAGCTTACTTTCCACTTATTTAACCGCATGAGACCATGAAAGTTCATGGCCTCATCAACCGATTTATAATTCCAATCCAGTACTCAATAGATCCATTGAAAGCGCATAAGGACTCAAAGATTTCCATGATCAAATCAACACAAGTTGCATGTGGATCTTCACCTTTGAAGGGAATGTTTCGCACGTATAAAGTCATACCAGAACAAAATGATTCCTAGTTTGCTCAATACAGATAGTGTAGGTTGATCAATACCAAGCGATATTTTGCTATTTAACGACTTATCTGGGATAAATAGACTCTCAAGATAAATAAACAGCTTGGACTATTCGAATAAACACGGTAATTTACTAGTTTGAGACCTAAATTAGTAAGCTTAGTAGCCGCATTATAATTCTACACTTAAAAAATTGCCAAAACAAAATTAAGAAATAAAAGATTGCCATAATAAATTGAATCGAGAAATCTTACCTAGATCCGGTGAATAATCAACTAACTTCAACTGTTCTATCAGATCATTTCTTTCCGTTTTAATTAATTCTAGTTTGTCGCATAACTGAGTTAGTTCAGATCTTAATTCTTCATTATTGGCTTCAGCATCAGATTCGGCAACTTTTGCATCTGATCCAATAAGCGCTTCAAGTTCATTTTCTGGTTTACTTAATATTTCGAAATGTTCTTTATGCTTTTCATATCGTTCTAAAAGAGACGCATCAGTTTTCGTAGTCTGAATGAAATAAGAATCAAAAGATCGTACTTGAGTTTTGGAATGAAGAATTTTAAACAAATAAAAAAAATCTCATTTTTATAAGTTGTACAACAATATAACATTTTCAAGGTAGTGCAATGCTTGATAAAATGAATTATGCAGTGATTCAAATGTCAAATTGGAAAAACTTATCTATAGAAAGAAATAAAGATGTACACCCTTATGTAAAAGTCCACATACTTTATAGTTTTTCCAACCCAGTGGGGGATGTGATTTGAAAAATAATGAAGTGTCCAAGGTTGAGTCTAATATTGTTTCTGAACTACTACACTTGAATTCGAGCACCATTATCTGAGGGTACCCAAACCATTGATTTCTAACATAGATCTTTTTAGAGCTTGGATCACCAGTCAATGACTGCAAGAATTAGTGACCTATATCATGCCAAACAACACAAAGAATTTTTGTTCAATCCTATTTCAATTGGCTTTAGAAGTTCTGTCATGGAGTACAGCTTAATATACCTCAATTGAATTGGAATCAAAACGTCCAACACCTAATATTCGATGCAGACAAATCATGAGAATTTATTTAATACTTGGAAGGTATATGCACGCTGATTTCAAACTAAAGATCTACACAGGTTCGGGGATTCAAAAATAACAAACAAAGAATAGAGGAAAAGAGGCTTTATTCGTGGAATCCGACCGTAGCTCTTAACATGATGTGGTGGTTGAGCTTACCTATCGCAATAACCCAATCGAGCTATATTGCTAAGAATATTGATTCCCTTATATTCTACACTGCTAGGCAGGTTGGTTGGTGAACGGTGGGACTAAAGGTAGTAACTCAAGGTCTGAGTGCGAAATCTAACCGCTGGTTGTACTGGTATGTATGGCAGCAATTAGGTGTTGCCGTTGGATGCTGTCTTTTCACAACAGAAGGAATGGATTAGAAAACATCGACCCTAAAAACATCATACCACATTTTATCCCATCAATTTCCGTTTTCGGAGACAAAACCTCTAAAATATGCAGCTAACTCATCCACGACTACTTGAAAGCAGGCCGAGTACGCAATTTTTCTCATGCAGTTTTCCCTTTGGATCTGTGGCCACGCTCCATGGTCACTATGACCACTTACTAATTCAGCTTTATCTTCAGGTAACTAGGAGAGAATTTCCGTTCGACAGTGCGGGTAACATGGAAATGACAACTGACTTCATACCTCTAACAGCACTCTAGATCCACTTGTTCACGATCAAATTCCCTCACTCTTCTTAATATCCCTTCTGTCCCCACCATCAATCCGTCGCCTGTGTGTTTCATTGCTATGGGCGCCATTAATGCTAACGATTCAAGTTCACGAAATGTCATTCATGTTGGCGATTTCGAGGTTCGAACTTTATGCAAAGATGGACAACACGTTTCTTTATCTAGGACTCCAGAGTCGCATTCTGTCGACACACGCTGCGTCTACGTAACAAGCACAATGGATTTAAATGTGGTTATTTACTTGACCTCACCTGGTCAATATAGAAAACAAGAGCGGTTTATCTTTCATGTATTTGGGGTCTTGACTGATAATTTTCGACGGAGTACACAAGTATTTGGCGCAAAAGCGGACCACGTGCTCCTAAACTGGATTTTAACACAGTTGCCTGAGTCGTACAACACATATTGTGTGCCTCCGTTTCCACTGATTGCAGTTCGGATGAAGTAAAGAACGAACTTTGTAGACAAACTATCATATGCCGTAGTCATAGCAGGAAATTTTACCTCTCAATGAGGCAGTCGAAACTAAAGTGAAAGACACATAAATAGGTTTACAGTATCCTAGTTCAGTGAACAAATAACAGCGACCGTCTGCAGACACTATACCTAAACAACCGTATCTACTTAACAAGCATAAACCTTAAGCATAAAGAGATGCATTGTCTAACATAGAGACCATTAAAATTGACTCAACCAATCGACGCAAATAAACCATATTGCCAGCAGCCATAATTGAGGTTCAATGGGAAACTTTATGTAGTTAGACTCTGATCATCCTCCAGTGAGTGCGAGCGCTTATTTGCTGCTTACTTGACGCCAAAAAGCCCAGGTAAGAAGTCCCCTTAGTGCCCAGTTTAATAACAAAACAGTCGAGTATATTTTAGAAACAACTAGAGAGACAAGTATTTAATCATAGGAGTAATGTTTAGTTCGGTAGGCTCGGGGAACGATGAAGAACAACCACAACTCAAACGTAGACTAACAAAACGTTTACTCAATGATCATGAGCAATGGTTGGCAGCGAAAGCAAAAGAGATGGGAAAAGTAGTGGCGGTAGGTGACTTTTCAGGTTTATCAAAATGCAGATATTAGAAAATATAAACAATGATCTACTCTTAGCTTATACGATTAGACTGATGGACAGAACGCTTTAGGGAACAGTTTAACTGAACTTCAGATACCTTTCAGTCATGCACTACCTTCAAACAATATGAACGGGAAGTCAGCACAAGTTTTCCAACTTTTGGTGGTGTTGAGGAAGCTACAGCTGATCCAAAGCAAGGAAGAGCAGTATGCGCTGACAAATTAACTGGTAGTTCAGCTTCAGCAATTAGGTTGACTAAGATGTTACCTAAAGTTTTTCGATCACTTTCATTAACAATACCAACGCATTTAGGATGCGTTCCTTTCCTTCTAAATCCAAAATGTTGCATTAGAACTAATCGATGTCAAGGCCTGACTTAATGATATGGAGTAATGTAGCTGAGTGACGACCACTTCATTTGAATTGGAGGTCTCATCAGTCTTCTTAGGTACATGCCTGATGAAAACGTGGCACGGATTCAGAAAGCTCGGTAGGCTTTAGCCAACGTATGGGGTGATAAACGTATGGTGTAAAAATGAAAGTAATAGCCAGCTGCCCAAACAGGAATATGTAAAGCACTGTTCAAATGTAGCTCATCTATCAAAAACAGGTTTATCTACTCCGGTTTCAAGAATGTGAAGACCATTGACACAACCCAAAAACTCAAACCAAAGTGAAGCGGATTTCAAATCTGTGATATAATGGTTGAAAGCTGACTGACTTAACCATTAAGCTATTGTTCCATTGGCATTCAATTGTCCGAAATTTAACTAAATTATTTGAGTTACATGATTGGTTGAAAACTATGTACTTAAGTCAAATATGTACGTTAGATAAGTCATTAGCTGGTTTTCAAATAACCTTAAATGTAACTTACAACGGTTTAGCGTAAGCGTAGTCCTCATGTTTAGGTGCTTTTATTCTAATAAAATGGCCAGTTTTTTTTTTCGATAAAGCCATACGATGTATTCTAAAATAATACAGTTTTTGCTTCCTACCAAAACGCAAAATACAAGATGAAAATATTTAATGAGAGGTTTTGTAGGCTTAAATACGCTTTACCGTGAGGAAAGCTGGAAAATTTGTAATTAGTTAGATGATAGCATGTTGTAATGAGCTAAATAATGGAATAGATAGGTATCTTTGTCCACGTAACACAATTTAATAAATGAAGTCTGTCAGATCATGTAACAAATTGCGGTAAAAATCAAGAACAGAAGAGATTGGTAAGTCTAATGTAGATTATTTTAAAAAAGATATCATTTACATGAAAGCTAAAACGCATTTATTTAGTGAAATTTTATTGATACTATCCTTCAGTACCACTTTTGTGATCATAATCATGACTTCTTTTCTTTTCTATTCAAAATGTTATTTTATTCAGGAATGTTAATAATTTTAGTTTTCTTTTTTTTTTATAAAAGAATAATAACCGACTACTGAACAATGAATTGCTTACTTGTTCAAGTAAATTCAAACATTTTTGTATATCAGAACGCCATAATTTGTTTAATTCACTTGATGGTTTCCGTGACCAACGTTCACCATATTGTTTTCGTAAACTATTATCAGAATTCTCTTCATCATCTAGTGAACTTTTCTCCTAAATAAATGAAATAGAACAGTATTGATTTGGTAGTAAATAAATTTGTATAGAAAACAAGGAAATAGATTTACGCTAATTAGAAATATTAAAAGTTTATCTCGACTAAGTATATACATTCTTAAAGTTATCATGAATCTGTCACACGATTGTCTAGGTTTTCAAACAGTAATGATATAAAATCAACTCATTGAAATTAAAATTAATTTAATACAACTCAGTAACTATGTACATGTTTTAAGTATTCCGCTTCAATTTTCTCTTAGGTGCAGAAGTTAGCGATATTGCTTGGATAACAAATTGGATTGGAGCAGGACTCAATTTTGTGCCCAATGCTTCGAAATAACAGTGCTCTAACTACAAAACCACTAATTTATCACTCTTTTTTTTCAAAAAATAACAATCATACAATTATGTGAGCGAGTATATGTTAATAAATTACGATATATGTCATATTACTTATGCGTGGACTAAAGGTACTCTTGAACAAACCAACTCAAACATGTGTTACACAATTATAAAAAATCAATTATTCGAGCTAATGTGATTAAAGCATACTTTTGTAAGAGGAAAAACATAGACAGCCGGATAGTATCATTATTTGAAGTTTAAATAAATGTGTGACTAAAAACATAATATACGAACCCAGATTCAATTTCAGAATTATAAATAAATATTTATAACTCTAAATGAATTCAGTACTTTTACAATTTCAATCAAATGTTTTGAAAGCTTACAGCCTCAATAATTTCCTTATTACGTTGAACACATTCAGGTATCGACATTAGTTGCTGATACAATTTTTCTGCTCCACCATCTCGACGTATAGAAGTAGCTTTGGATAAAATATTATCCGTAATTGAGTTTGATCCTTTAGCAAGTAATGCTGCCGGGAAATTGTATGAAGCTAACACTCTGAAAATATTGAAAAATAACACCATTAATAGTTTGTTACATAGAAAATGGTATAGAAGATATTAAAACATTTTAACAAAAAAAACCTGTAACTAAAATGAGGGATGGTTGAAGAAAAGCTTCAAAAAGCCAATTTCGTAGTGATGTAACAACAAGATTTTCTGGATCAAGAACCATAGGAAAATCGCAATAAGATCGTCGAAATACACACTATAATGTTGGTGAAATCAAAATAGTGTAACTGCAATTTATAAACCAATCACCAAAACTCTTACAATTGACATAAAATAAAGTTTGACCTTAAAGTAATATTCCAATTTCCACTCAAAAGACAATACCTACATTTAAATAGAGTCAAAGAAACACAACACAAATTGTTTAACGAAAGTAAAAAGCGTACTAGGCAAATTTCAGTAGAACAAGTTGCAATGATACAAACGTAGAAGGCCCAGGAGGTTCTAGGCAACAACAAGCATCGTCATAAGAAATGTAACGCTATCGAAACCCTGGACAAGATTCAAGAAAGGAGGAACAAGAAGACATTAATTAACAACAATCGAACAAGAACAGAGAAAGTGAAAGCACAAGGTGAATAAACAGAAGAAAACAAGCAAGTGAAGAGGAGCAGTACAGTTGATAAGCAGAAGCACATGGAAGACCTAGCGAAGACAATGAATAAAGCTGCAAAAGAAGGAAATATCAAACAACTATATGACAACGAAGAAACTTACAGGGAAATATAGTAAACCAGAGAGACCGGTTAAGGACAAAGGAAGCAAGACGATCACAGATATTCAAGAATTATTATTTATTATTTCCGTCATTACACGGATTGAATAAAAAAAGATGCACTCACTCATTCAATTTAGTGGATGCTCCTCGTAGCGTACAAATTTCGCTGTCAATAAGAGATGCACGAACACCTTTGGCAGTGTTAACAGCTTCTGTAACAGCGATAGGAAGTAGATTTTCGAAGTAATCTTTGGTATTCGATGAAGACAAAGGGAACGTAAGTGGGGTTTTCTTAATGACATCAACACTTTCGACAGGAGCAAGACTTCCTCTGGGAGGTACCTTTTCGTGATATATATGATCATTGTCTTTTATTGCAACTGATTCTTCTTGTTTAAATTGTTCCACTAAATTCTTTCGTTGAAAACAACTACTTCGAGCAACACCTTTGATTAGTTCATAAGCAAACTGTATTAAGAAAAAGTAGGGTAAGATGAGAGCATAAAAACATGAAAATTTAGGTGTTAATACAATAGAAAGTTTTGAAAAAAATGAAGTAATGCATTATAAGTATCAGTTTTTTTTCTTCTAGACGTTTCTAATTGTTTCTGAAGCAGTAACACAGGTTTTCAAGTATATGGACAGTGTTAGGCTTTGTATTCTCATTTGTATTAAGTTAAAAGCCGAACAATAGCATTTGTGAATATTTTTATAACAATATCAGAAGCCAATCCATAATATTTGAATAAATGAAGTGTAATTTTAACAAAGTTAGAATATGACAATTATACAATGGGATAACATGAAACATTCATCAAAAATAAAAACAAAGTATACATTCGAAAGTTTTAAAGAATGAAAAACCGGGAACCAAACCTGAGACCTTCGATCTCGCGCACGAACACCTAACCTTTAGACCATTGAGTTGGGATTCAACGATGTATATGTCTAGCTACAGTCACTCCACAATACTAAGCGACCACCTTCCATTGTGTTTGTGTTTGGTAGTTAACCCTCACACCTAATACGGTTGAACCACACTATGACTTTTCACTTGAACTCCGGTAATTTTCTTTCGAAGCCCGTTATAAGTGGGCAAATAATAATTATCAATATGACGCAACAATACTTTCGATTAATTGAAGTTAGACTTGCACACCACTAAATGCTCGCTCAGTGATCTAGAGGTTAGGCATTCGTGCGCGAGACCGAAGATCTTGGGCTCGATTCCTGGAGGTGAGGGTGTGGGTGTGCGCTAATGAAAAGTTCCATGCCAGGACGAAACGGATGTCCAGTGTTTACAGGTCCTGAACAGTTGTCTAACTTAGATCTCTTTTATCGTCTCACTAAAACTCAACAGTTTTCACAATCCTATATTAAAAATAATACTGAGTTGAGAGCCTTCTTTACATGCCGAAACGAAATGTCGTCAGGAAAAATGACAAGTGATGATTAGCATATGATGAAATGTAATGAAGAATAGTCAAAGAATCCCTTTAAAACTATACTACTCTTCTAAAGAAATCCTTCAACGATATAACAATATTTTCGTTGCACCAATTTATGATTTAATGGATGAAAAGCAAGTCTTTATTTCGTTGACCTGACACTTTAGATATAATATCCTAAAAACAGATCATTCATAAGAAATACTTTTTAAAGGTACTAAAAAGTCAGTCACCTGAGAATGAGATGACAATTTCTTTATTAGTAGTCCCCATTTTTAATTATGCAATATTACAAACGTTCTACATCAATATGAATCAGGTTTTAGGAATTAGAAGAGTTCACAAAATATGATAAATTCACATAGATCAGGTTCAGTTATTATCCTTATCTAATGAAAAAAAAGTACTGCCTAAAAAGTTAAAGTAAAATAAGTTTAAAACTGCTGTTATTCTGATATGTTTGTAGACTAAAATGATTTTCCTTAACTCTGGATTCAACAAAATAAGCTATCTCTCCTGCCCGCTTACTATATTGACAAGTTCAAGATTGTATAGAAGCTTTTCTTGGCAGAGACCCCAGGAGAATCAAATTACATACAAGCTCATTCTATTAAGTATTGAGTAACTAAATGATCAGTAGTGACAGCAATTTTCACCGATCTCAAAATTACAGTGAATTATTCAGCAAGATGAGAATGCATTAGAAATCAAACTAACTACATTCTAAATAAACTAATATGATTGAAAATTTACTGAGAGTCAATGATGAAAAACACTGAATGAATCGATAGAACAAAAATCACCTTAAATCGATATGCGAATTTTAAGAATAATTTTCATTCAGCACGTGTTGTATTTGGTGATTGAGCATTATTAACGTATTCTTAACAACAAAATAAAATAGAAAGGCCGAGAAAACGTTTACAAGAGTAGACAGAACAAAATAGATTGTATACTGTCTGATTATAGGTTCCAGACTATTCTCCGTATTTCCTTCAGATCGCCTTAACGATAAGAGAAAAAATTACTAGCTTTGAAGAATAGTTGAGTGACTTGCACTAATTTTACTCTTTATTACATCTTAGCCCAAGTCAGGCATTCAATGAATATGATCAGAATACATTATAATACTGGTAAAAAAAACATCCCTAACACTGTCAACTTATTTACAACTCAACCTTATCATTATTGTCTATGAAACTATAACAAACTAGTAATTCTACAATACGAATATATTAGATACATTTAGCTACATCTTATACCACTACAATAAAGTGACCTGAGCAAGAAAGAAGTTAGCTTAAATCCACTGTAGTTTTTTTTGAGTTGTTTAATTGAAAAATATAATTAAAACATTGAGAAAAGTAATGCAGCTTACTGATAAGCGAGCTACTTGCTCCCCGTACTGTTTGGCTTCGCAACAAGCTTTAGATTGATGATATTGGGTCAAAGCTTCATATAAACCTTTTTTCATGCTTAATACACCAGACCAATCCTAAGATAAGAATGATAAGAAAATTACACTACTTTTGGAACAACATTTTTAGCTCCACTTGAACAATCTGACAGGCACTCTTCGTAAAGACTAGTCAAGGTTGATGCTATTCTTGCTAAAATGGCAGGCTTTTTCTTATCTAAAGAAGAAATATCATATTATAATACTGTACCAATACCTTTTTCAGCCTTCGAGAGGACACATTCATATGCTTGGGCAAGCATAAGATTACTGAACAGTGTTAGTGCTGATGAAGTTAAATCTGGCAGAGGATCCTTAACCCCAGACATCAAATCTGAAGATATGTAATCAAATGTGCAGGAAGCAATCTGTAAAGGAAATTGGAAAAAGACGTGAAACATGGTGGTTGTATGCCCTCACTCTGCCTGAGGTGTTTGTATATAGGTCCTTTAAGATGTTAATAAACACCTCAGACAAACCCTTCTTCAACAGACAATCCCAGAGAACAGTCCTGTCCAACGAATCGAAAGCAGCCCTGATGTCAAGAAATACTACGATTGTTGGCCTTTGATAAGTATGACGGTGTTCTAACATTTGGCGGAGGATGAAGATATGATCAATACATCCTCGACCAGAACGAAACCCAACCTGCTCCTCGCGAGCCAATCTTTCTCGGGTTTTGAACAACCTACGAAGTATGATGGAAGCCAATATTTTGGACTCATTTGGAAGTGTACTTATCCCGCGATAGTTGTTACAGAAACCACGTGAACCCTTTTTAATGATAGGGATAACTATCGAATCATTCCATGACGTTGGAACTCTCTAGTTCCCAGACCTTTGTAACCAACTCAGACAGTTCCTTGACCAGGAAGTCACCACTATCTTTTAAAAGGACCGGAGGTAAGTCATATGGGACTGAAGATTTGTAGCGCTTCAAGAGTTGGAGTTCCTTGTATTTCCAGTGTTCACTGTCATTTCATTTGATTTGTGTGTGGGCTGTGATACTGCTCGGGCACCCAGACCGAAGCAGGTGGTTTTCTTAGGGTGCCACACCCAGAGCCTTCGACCTGCAAGTCTGATCCACAAGGCAGTGGATCAACATTAGGAGATGCAGTCCCATGGTAGCCGATCACCAACAATTGGTTTCTGCACCATTTGTTCCCTTAGAACCCTGGAGCCTATGTGCACTATTGGTTTGGAATCAGAGTTTTCCAACTCTCCTAGATGGACTCTTCCTGTCCACCAACCCGGTTAAAGCGCCGGACATTTTCTTTTCGTCCTCTTAACTTAGTAACCAACACCACCGCAAGAAGGCAAAAAGTAGGGCTTCCCTGGCAGTGGCTGTATACGCGTGGCCATGTGAGAGCATTTCGAGAGGGAGAGCTGACTCTCTCCTCTCCCTCCATCTGTAGATCCGAAACGTTTGTTCCATGTAGGATTGTCTGAGGACTTTGTGAAGTCAGTGTCCAGTTTCGACACCCCATCTTGCACTAAACGCCATAGTGGATATAGCAATAAGTAGTTAGATCCGCTATTAACAATCACTGATATAGTCTTTAACTGCAAGGATACACTAAAAGAAAACATGGGTGGAAAAAGAAGTCGCCTAGTGATCTCCACCTACGCACCGACGGGTTGTAGCTCGGATCCCATTAAGGATGAGTTCTACTAACAACCAAATGATCCTTTTAATACATCGTATTAAAATGGACGTCTTAGTGCCAGTTGGAGATTTAAATGAACAAGCCGGAATTTTAGGCACAAAGGTGTTGCTTCGATAGATAAATGGGACGCGATGGTTGCTGTGACCGTCTTCTGTAGAAAGCGACAACTGCAACCATTACCGATATCCCAGACCGTTGTTGCTACCTTGACGTGGTGGTCGGGCTTGCCTATCGTGATGAAGCAACTGAGCTATACTGGCTGGAACAACCGTTCCTCAAGGTCCTACCATGCCAGACAGGTCTGTTGAAGAGCGGTAAGACTAAAAGCAACAAAACCAAGGTCCGAAGGCGAAGTCGTACTGCTGACTGTACAGAGGTGTGACAGCAGTAAGGTGTTTCCTTCAGAAAACCAGCATGACAGCGATGCTGCCTTCCCACAAGGAGGGGTGGGGTTAGAAAAGGTCGACCCTAAAAATGCACACCTCGCCTTATCCCACGGATATCCGTCTCCGGCGGTAAGGTCTCAACAAGTACGAGCTAACACAAAAACTACTCAAAAAAGGTCGTGTGTGGCCGACCTCAAGCAGCTGTCCCTTGGGCACTGCGGTCACGCTCTCAGGTCACTATGACCAACTCTAATCCAATTCCCTTTGCAGGTACCTCCAGCAGAACCCTTCCACGGTGTGGGCAACCGGGAAGTGATAACCACCCTCATACCTCTAACAGCACTCAAGACCAGTGTATTCATAATTAACCTCCCTCTTTAATTCTTTAAGCATAAGGAGAGACATCGTCTAAAATGGCGACCCCCCGCACCAAGCCAACGATGGACTCAAATAGACCATATTGCCATCAGTCATCGTTGGAGAGGGTCGATAGAAGATTGTCGCTCATTCTAGAGTACCAGCTTGGACTACGATCATGAGGTTAGACGCAGGGTATTAGGGAATGATGGTAAATCAGTTGATGAGGTTATGAATCTTCATCGACTGAGATGGTTGGGCCACGTGTTGCGTATGCCTGAACACCGATTACCACGACGCGCAATGCTGACTAGTGCAGGGGATAATTGGAAGAAAGTTAGGGGCGGCCAAACCAAAACGTGGCATCAGTGCTTGAAGTCACTAACTTCTGGTCTGAGCCATGTTGGAAGATTCGGACTGCCTGGTTGGGGTCCGCGTGACTATCGTAACCAATGGTTAGAGACTCTTGGTGACATGGCTCAGAATCGATCACAATGGCGTCGGTGTATACACTCTCTTTCTTCCTTTAAACTAAGAGATTAAAATCACTTCATATCTTTCTACCAACTAATTCTTTCTTCCTGTACTATCTCCTTATATGCAATCTTTCTTCTATATATTACCACCACTGAATTAACTACTTCTATGAATCCGGTGTTCATCTTGTTGTGCTAATGCGGTATGGCAACTTGGACCGATGCATATACGTGCCTGGTCCTACGTTGCAGCTGACTGAGATATGTTTTCTACAGATACACCTCAAACTCTGATAGGCAGATGACATTATCTTACCATGTGAAGATACACAGGTTATCAAAATCACAAATAAACAGTTGGTAATTAATATCTGTAAGCACAGTATGTACCTCAAGACTTCGAAGTGTGAAATACTCACTCAATTTAATGAACCGTAAGTTGGAAAGTTCGTATCTTTAGTAATTGTGAGTCTAGTAAGTGATCTGACGAATAAGATAAATATGCTTACAGAGAAACTCAGAGTGGTTTATACCAATCTGGGTCATTTTTAGCACCAGTATAATGTAAGGTTGAGGAATGTCTGGTTTATAACCCATCACTCAGGGTAGTTCTGATATCAGCTGATGACGTTCGGTAACGCTGTGTTCGGTCATCAGTGCCATATTAGGTGGCAACACCGTGTTAACAATGGATAAGTTCATTAGAATGCGTCCAGGAGTAATGACGATAAATTCCATTGGTTTCACCATTTTAAAACGTCAACATTAGTGATCTGATCGTATTTTATGGACTTCATCCCAGCTGTTTTCACAATGCGCATCGTTTGCTAATTCCGGGACTGAGTGGAAAAGACCGAGGTGGTCAGTTTATGAATGATATCTGTTAATCCAAGGCAACTCAAAATTTGGGGTCCCAGAGATTGTGCAATTCCGTGGCTAGACACGTTATCGCATATATATAAGCTATACATTGCTATCGATATTGTAAAAATATTATAGTGTTGATACCTTGAAAGATTTCAAAGCTTGTTGGAGTGAATTTTCACAATTGGGACGGCACGATTCACCAAGTTGACTGTGAGCAGCACCATAGCAAAACAAAACATTTGAACGTTCAAATTTAAGAGAGCTCTCTTCTATGAAAAAAAATTAACACTAAGTAAGAACTTACTTTTGTTAGATTTTCCAGAAATATCACTCCATTTAAAATCAACTCGTGAAGCAACATTCACATTTAGACGTCCTTCTAGTTGATACATAGCATCATGGTACCTACAAAAACAATTCCATAAACTACGTGACATAGTTAACATCAGTGTTACTATAGGACAAATAGACGCAAACAAATTGAAGTTTATACAAATATTCGTCAATATTAGAACGAATAGTTCGAAAAAAATTGGGAGCCGAGTATAGAGAAGTCATTATAGGTGAGAATTGTATTTGAAATTATCTCAACGATTGAAATTTAAAATAATTCCAACGTTTCATCCAGCAAACCTGTCTGGACTTATTCCAAGTAATAATCAAAATCATCAAAGAAATATATAGTGTCTTAACAATCAAATCAGATTAAATCTATACTGTGTTAATCCAATCATATTTGGATGTTGACTTTTGTAAACAGAATAACATGAGCCAGTTTAATTTGAATCATGTAAAAAGTTCACGATGTGAAAATAAATGACTGAACGAATTGTGTATGTGTATGTGTAAGATTGAGTTACTAATAGTTGATAATAGGTGTTAATATGTTTTTACATGAAGGAGAAAATAAAATAAAAGTGCAAGTTGAAGGTTGAAAAATTGTTACTGAATCATTGATGTGCTTGTAACATGAGAATCATCAAATACACATTTGTATTGCTAAAATAACCCACATTAATTTCAGTCAGAATGACGATGCATGTGAAATAAACAGGTTGGATAAAGAATGGGTCCAAATACTTGTTGACGAATATTTTCAAAGTAGTTGCTAGTTGAGTACCATCCTCTCGATTCAGGCTATTCTTGTTCGCCCATATATACAGTGCTTCTTCTGTCAATTTTTATTTATGAGTGTTAAAACCTTTCTGAAGTATTTTGTCCCCTTCAAAAATAATCATGTGTCCTGTTTCCAACGCAAGTAACGCTATCACCAACTTATTCTCAAGTTTCTTTAGGTCAACCGAAGATTTGGGAACATATTTCAAACATTGTTTGTGTTCTTTCAACCTCACACTCAATTGTCTGAAAGATTCTCTAACATAAGCTGCATTACGATCATGAGGATTCATCTCTTAGACGATATTCTGTTGTTCTTCCTTTGAAAACCTATCCTTAACTTTCACTGATGTTGATATTATGGTGTCACTAGCCCGAAAATACACTCCAATATTATGTTTGTTTGAAATCCTCTTGATTTCTTCCAATGTTTCCCTACGGTATGGGATGACCATGGTGGTCTGCCATTCTTTTGGTATACATTCTAATTTAGTTTTTCTTTCATTCCTAATAATGTTCTTTAAAATCTCTTTGGAGTAGTTGATATCTCTAAGCGTAGACAAAACTCGATTCAATTCAACTTGTTGGTCTTCCTTATCTGTAACGAGATTATTACTTCTGTTAATTGAATTTTTTACAACTGTGACTTTCGTACAAAACGCATGAGCGGAACCAAAATCTAAGTATCTCTCAAAACGTGTTGATTTCCTGAATACATTTTTAACTTATTATTGTCTTTATAAATAAATAATATATTTGTAATATCCCAATAAGTAGAAAATTAGATTTTCTGACGTTTCGTGGCTTAGTGTAAGTCACTTCTTCAGAGAAGAAGTGACTCATTGGGATATTACAAATATATTATTTATTTATAACAATCAACCCAATGCTTAATTTATTCGAAATTATTATTGTCTTTGTTCAACGAAACAATCGAGAAACGCTAAATTGTGGTCACTGGATTCTATTTCCTTTGTTAGCCTAATGCTCTCCGTAATGGTCAAGTCAGTCAGCTGCAACGTAGGACCAGGCACGTATATGCATCGGTCCAAGTTGCCATACCGCATTAGCACAACAAGATGAACACCGGATTCATAGGAGTAGTTAATTCAGTGGTGGTAATATATAGAAGAAAGATTGTGTATAAGGAGATAGTAAAGGAAGAAAGAATTAGTTCCTAGAAAGAAAGATTTGAAGCGATTTTAATCTCTTAATTTAAGGAAGACAGAGAGTGTATACACCGACGCCATTGTGATCGATTCTGAGCCATGTCACCAAGAGTCTCCAACCATTGGTTACGATAGTCACGCGGACCCCAACCAGGCAGTCTGAATCTCCCAACATGGCTCAGACCAGAAGTTAGTGACTTCAAGCACTGATGCCACGTTTTGGTTTGGCCGCCCCTAACTTTCTTCCAATTATCCCCTGCACTAGTCAGCATTGCGCGTCGTGGTAATCGGTGTTCAGGCATACGCAACACGTGGCCCAACCATCTCAGTCGATGAAGATTCATAACCTCATCAACTGATTTACCATCATTCCCTAATACCCTGCGTGTAACCTCACTATTACTTACCCGGTGATCCCAGCAGATACCCGCAATATTTCTAAGGCATCTGTGGTCAAATACTTGTAGCTTACGAATATCGTCCACTCTTAAAGGCCGTTTCGCAGCCGTATAGAAGGACGGAACGAACTGCCGCGCAGTATACTCGTCCCTTAATTGATAGACGGATATCTCGCCTTCGCCATAGATGACGTAAGTTGGCAAAGGCCAAGCGAGCTTTTCGAATCCGTGCTGAGATTTCGTCAGACACCAACCCATTAGGGCTGATCAGACTTCCAAGATAAGTGAAGTTGTCAACGCGTTTGACTACTTCACCCCCTATCCTTAGTTCAGGTGTTGACGCAGACCAGTCCTGAAGCAACAACTTGCATTTGGAGGGAGAAAAGCGCATCCCAAACATTCTAGCATTGTTGCTCAGTGCTACCAAAAAACTCTGCATTTCATCAGCGTTTTCACCAAACAGGACTATGTCATCTGCGTATTCTAAGTCAATAAGTGGACCTCCTGGTAGGAGATCAATACCCGAGAAGTCAGTCGATGAGAGCGTTATTTCCATCAGGATGTCTATGATAAAGTTAAACAAAAAAGGAGAAAGTGGACAGCCTTGACGGACGCCACTTGAGGTTGCAAAAGCAGATGACAGTTCGCCATAGGCTCTGACCCGACTAGTAGTGTTCGAGTAAAGAGCCTTCACAAGGTTTATGTACTTCTGAGGTACGCCTTTCAATGACAGACACTGCCACAGAACCTCTCGGTCAACAGAGTCAAACGCTGCTTTTAAGTCAAGGAATGGTGTTCTTAATTTTAAACAAAACTTCTAAATCATTCAGTTTAATAATAACAATGCCATCTACATACCGTAGTCAAACTTTTGGTGGACATAAACATCTTGTGATTGCACTGGTTTCTAAGGAATGCATGAATAAATTCACTACCATCGGAAAAACTGGTGAACACATTGGTATACCTTCTTTCTGTCTGTAAAGGTCTCCCCAAAATGTGAATAACGTAGATAGTAAACATAATTCCAAGTACTTAGTAAAGTTGGATGGGTTTAATGGGCATCCTAAATTCAAATCTGAGTCAGATTCCAAACAATTATAAGTAACATCCAGTGTTCTATTGTCAGGTACATAAGTAAATAAGGAAGATGTGTCAAAACACCGGATTCATAAAGTACTTAATTCAATGGTGGTAATATATGAGATTGTGTATAAGGATAAAGTACAGGAGGAAAGAATTAGTTCGTAAAAATAAAGGCATAAACTAATTTTAATCTCACGGTTTAAAAGTTGACAAATAGTGTTTACACCTACGCCATTGTGATCGATTCTGAGCCATAACTCCGAGTCTCCAATTATTGGCTACGATAGTCACGCGGACCCCAAGTAATCTGCATCTACCAACATGGCTAAGACTAGAGGTCAGTGACTTCAAGCAATGGTGCCACGTTTTGGTTTGGCCGCCCCTAACTTAATTCCAACCATCCCCAACACTAGTCAGTATTGCGCGTCGTGGTAATCGGTGTACGTAACACGTGGTCCAACCATCTCAGTCGATGAAGATTCACAACCTCATCAACTGATTCACCAATATTCCCTGATGGCCTGCGTCCAACCTTACTATTATTTACCCAGTGATCCGAGCAGATGAGTGTAATAATCTTAAGGCATTGGTGGTCAAATACTAGCAGCTTACGAGTATTCCATCACTAACCAACTTATCACACGGTTTAAGTATCCTAGGTAAGTATTTCGCTAGATTGTATGTCCGTAAATTTGTAAAATCAACCAGTCAATCGAAATACCCCAAACAACAAGACTTATTAATTTCTGGTTCCTGTTCTTTTTACACAAATCATTTCCGCCATATTAATGTGGTAACATTGACAAAAAAGCGTTTGTGATGTGTACGAGTACGAATTTAGATCATATTTGGAAAATGTAATTTACTTACACCACATCGCTACATGCATTTTCCGAATGGTTTGCTGGACACAAAACAGGAGTTCCACATAGTACATGTTGACCAGATTAATCTAAGTGACGAACATAACTGAATGATCAGTTGGACTGCTTTTTGTTAGGTGAACTTTATGAGGACAATTGTTACCATAATATTTTGCTTGCTTTGAAAAAGAGCAATCTATATATAAGGACCTTCAACCCCCGGGACTACCAAAGAGCGTCTTACTAATGGGATCATCAATTTTAAAATTTCGAATCCCTAATCAAAGATCTCTAGACAATAAGCAAAAGTTTAGGATTTCACAATTACCTACTGTTACATCAGACACATTAGAAGGATGCCAAATATAATGTAGCAAACAATGAATCTCCAAAGATCAATAGTCAGGTAGTTACAAATTTAAAAAGACATTACAAAATATTCATAGCAAACCAACGAGCAGTTGAGGAAGAAATATGCTGACTTTTGAAATCTGGGATGGAAAATTGGTGCTTATGTAACCACAAAACAATAGTGAACGGTATGAGGAAGATTAAACACTGAAGACAGATCAAAAATCCTAAAATAAAATGAATAGAAACGAGAATACCAAATACAGTTATTAGTACCATTTAACTTACGCTGCGATAGCTTCGACTGTCGGATTGTAGTTATCGCCTTTGACACATGCGACAGTTCGCATTGACGCTAACTCACCGAGTGAACCAAGGCATGCATTCGCGGTCAAAGCACCATATTGAAGGGCGATCAACTGTTGAAAACTACTAGATAAATCAACAGGAGCCGACTTCTTTAAAGGAATACTCAAGAAATTCATAACCCGCCCGGTTCGAAAGTGAGACGAATAACCCGCAAACCCAAGGTCAAATACATAAGACGTTTTATTACAGAAATAGCAAGAAGAAACTCTACGTAGGACTATATTTGTGACATCGAAATCGGTGTTTTATGGCGATGGTCAGTTAAATTCTTATGTATTAATGGAAGGTTATAATTTTTGAATCATAGTTGCTTTGTTGATTCAAAATGGTTCGAATGGTTGTGAACGAAATAGAAGCTTTCGCCTAATGGGCTTCCGTGTCTGGTAGCTGTGGATCATCAATACCTCCAGGTAGGAACCTATGTATAATAGCGATAAAGTAGGAAAAAGTAATCAGTATATCATAGTAAGATACTATCCTTAGTCATTAAGAACATATCAAGTATCCTATTAAAGGACTAGCACAGCCGGCAGCGAATCTCAGCATCTGACAACTCTTAAGAAGTAGAAGTTGTGTCTACAGTTCTTTTTGCTGAGTTTTGTCTTCAGTTTTTGGGTGTTACTCCTAAGTTTTTTGTGGGAGCTAAACTTAAGCAGGTGTTTATGGGGATGTCCAGAAGTGTTAAGGATATTGTAGGTCATTAGAAGATCACCACTGAGACACCTGTACTCTGGCGAGTAAAGTTAAGGTGATTGGTGCGCTCTTCTTAAGGCTTGAAATTGAGTCCCCGGACTGATTTCGTGGCTCGCCGTCGGATATGTCCTAGAGTGTCCTTATCCTTTTGAAGAGGGAAAGGAAATATTATGTTTTCGTACCCTATATGGAGACGAATGAAACTATTGATAACTATGTGGAAAGTTCTTCCGTCAAACTGGACAAAAATGCAAGTCAATGTTGCCAGTGCAAGGTTTGCTTGAAAGACATTTCTGTTACAGTTTGCGTAAGACTGCAAATCGTAAGCTACTAGCACTCGTAAATCTCATTCAACTTTGAATACTACTGGTGGGGATTCGTTGAAATTGTAGCTGTAGTCTGCGACATGTCTCAGATGGACTACTTTACACTTTCAAGTGTTAAAGTTCGTTATCATTTGCCAAACATTGAAATCGAATCAGATACTCTAGGATTGCCAGTTTATACTCTTGGTTACACATCTCTCCATAGTTTCACATAATCAACGAAAAGTAATAAATCTGGAGATACCTGTTATGGAGGATCGTTTATATAACTCAAGAAAAGAAGAGGTACTAGTACTGAACCCTGGGGAACCCCACGAATACACCTTACACAACGATATTTCTTCCGCGGAAAACCGTCTCGCGAGATTCCTTGGGGATGTTCTGGATGAGATTGAGCTCAGAATACGATATGTAAGGCAATATTCTTACATTCCAATCTGGTTTCAGTATCTGCGCCGATAGCATTAGTGAGTGTTGCGCAAAGTAGTCTTCGATGATTTTAATACTTAGAGTCCTTACCTCAAGTGAGCCGTGTGACCGTCAAGGGTTCTATTTTGAGAAGTTCGAGGTTCTTGTTTAACTCTTTTCAGAGCATCCTATCATGTTTGAACTGCAAACTGAATGTAAGGTTAGGGCTGCTCTTATGGCTTACGATTATGTGAGAATCAGTGCAAACTGTTCTTGTTTTCCCAGGTTTTCAGGTACGTTCAGGTTGAGGACCTTATTGTTTGGAAGTCGAAGCGTAAATTGGACATTCTTAAGGGTAGACCGTGCAGCCAAATCGCTAGCTGATTTCACTACAGTACTTGGGATGTTCAGCATTTTAGACAGTCACGCCCGGTCCTTTTTAATTTTGGATCATATAATCTGCAGAGTTTTTGGCAATTACCGTTGCATTCGGGGATCATATGCACAGAGATCCAAGTCTGCTGAGGGAGTTTAGTACCGTCGATGTTATGATGGTGCAGAGTTTCATCATGTCTTCACTAGTGTTATTACATGCTCCATAGATAGTAAAGCTGTTGAGATCCATCTTCTTGTTTTCACTGCGCGTCTGTGTTTGTACACCCGTTTTAAGACTGCCTCTTTTCAAGTTTTCTGACATCTTATTCCGCAAACCTGTCAAGAGAATGATGATGTTGCTCGGCAAAACCTCGGCATTCGTTCGCACGTGAAACATACCTACCCACGATCCGACTTAGTGAGTCTGATGTAAGCAGTTACTGTAAGATCTGTGCACTATTTGTCGACTCAACCTTTTCAAGTGTCACACTGCGAGCCAGATGTAACCGAAAAACGGCAATCGGGTCACTTGCATGAATTCTTCATGGCTATATTGACGTAAATTGTTATACAGTTCGTAACAAAAGTCCATGACCGTAAAACAAAAAAACTACATTAAAAACGGACAAAAATGCATAAAATCGAGTGATACCAAAGGTAAGGATAAACTGAAACTAGCTTTGACGCGAAGAACTGAAAAAATCGAATGGTAAGCTGCGGCAAAACCACAGTTAATTATTAAGATGGGTAAAGCTCAAAAAGAAAAGTAATCTACTAATTGTAAAGCTCAGTACAGATTCTTTAAATCAGAAATGGTATTTTTGTTGCGTAAGGACACAACAAAAGTTTGAGATATATTTGGAAGGCTATCGATATATCGAGTAGTGTTTGGTACAAGCTAGCAGACAGTTGCAAGTAATTCGTAGCATGGCATTCCCACTCATGATCTGGCGCGGATGTGCGGCCGAGCACCTTCAGCTAAGCGATTCAATTAGAACTATTGCGGTCAGCATCAAAATTCGAAGACTTACAGAGCTATTGATTTCTGGGATTTATTTACTATATAAGTTGTATATATTGAAACTTTGTGACAAAGTACCAGTATGTTAACTTCATTGACAACTGTTGTCTTTCATTTTAAACCAAGTTGATTATTTCCGTAACCTCTAATTTATTTTGCAGTTGTTTTTAACAGATATCTGATTGCGACATTCTGGTCTTGTTAGACATGATATGGCTGCACTTCAGCAACCAGTGTGTGAAGATTCTGTTGACATTTTATGCTACCACTCCATTAACGGCGTTCATACTCTCAAGTTCCATAATCAATACTCATATGAAGCACTTGTAGTGACTTGTTTTTGTCAACAGAACGCAATTGGTTTAATGGAAACAATTATTATTATAACCTATTGTACCAGTGACCGTTTGTTGAACTGTACTAAAGACAGCCATTATTCTCCTCTCGTTGACTTTGATCTTGTACGAATTCGGTTACGCTCAGTAACCTCACTTGTAATCTGGCACGATTACGGTATTCTTTCAATACCACGAGATCGCCAGCAAATACATCTCGACTACAGCCATCAACTGCCTTCTGATATTCGGCCTACGAAGGATCTTATCGGTTAACTGGCACGTAGTCTTCTTGTGGTGGTGATCATAGTCAACAGCGACTCGACACCACACTACACACTACTTTTCGGATGTTTCCTTCTGAAGCCCAAAATATACAAAGCCTAAAAGCCCCCAGTTTAGAGTACCATAACTGTTGTTATGATTTTGGGGTAATGTGCCGAAAAAGTGACCTGAAAAGCAGAATATGCGGCGATTTGGAAGATGAAAATATCTTTGGGGCGTTGTAGCAAGAGATGGGAATTGTGAAATTTCAGGTAGCATATAATTATGACGGCCACTTTGACAACTTGTCTCACGTAAGCGATTGGTATTGATTCAAGAGGGTTTGATTTTCGAGATATAGAGGGCATTCTGTTTGATTTCGGGTGCATTCGGGCTTGTGTTTTTAAATTTACTTGACTACTTCTTACATCGAAGATGATGACAAAGTTTAGGATATCAATGACTTTGGATTGTAAGCTTAAAAGACTTCAAAACTTTATCTACAAAATCAAGTATTAGAATAGCAAATGTTTTTTTAGAGATTTCAGTTAAGATAAGAGTCAGGACTTACTACGAACAGATAGAACGAAATTGTGGAATATTTTATTTTGTGGTCTCACATATATTTCTGGCCACAAGCAGAAAATCGAAAAATTGCGTTAAGTGAAATGTCATTAGTTGATTTACCAACCATCGGTCCGATAATTCGTTGGGTGGATGATATCGTTTTGTGGCAGGCCAAAGTATAATTGCTTATGTGAGTTCACAAAAATATAATGCTAAAATGCTCAGTTACTGGGCATATTTTAACTGTGGCTGAACAGCAAATTGATCATACAGTTCGTGAAACTCATTCGCTGGAAAATTACATGAAACTTTAATGATGGAACACGTAGTGTATGTTAGCCTAAAAGATTCATTGGAAAAATACTGAATGAAAAAAATGGTTTTTTATTCTCTTATTCAGAAATTAAAAATATATGTAGTGTTTTACTTTCCTAAATCATCGATACGCACATTGTTTAGAGTCTTCCGCTTCATCCAAGCATCATGTCAACCGATCATTTCGGTGACAATCTAGGTGATGAAGAAGATTCTGTGAACTTTGAATTTTTCGAAGAACATCGGTAGGTGAATAAAATGATAAATATTTTGGCTATAAGGACGAAAAGTAATTTTAAAAACATAATTTAATTATTACCATGTATGTGAGTATCATGCAACATGACGACTAATGTAATGCCACTTTTCTTCGAAATCCTTTCCAATAACATTGAGGTTCGTTGTCATATGCCTCAACTTTAAATTATTTTCTTATATGTACTTACAATTATTGAATAATAATTACCAATTTGTAATCTTAACATTACAAATTGGTAATATGTTTCCAATGATGATGTATTTTCGCCCGAAATACCAATGTGAAGCATATGCATATATGTGAAAATTTAGTTTTGTCTGAAATTGAGCGCATTTTGTAGCTAGTTTGTATAATAGATAATACCAAATCGAAAATCTTGGAGTTTGGCGAGACTCTAATTTAGGGACGACCTTTCTCTTCATTAATAACGCCTAAGTTTTTCATCGGCTTTCTCATTTGGTCCTCATTAAATTACTGTTTGCCTGAGATTTCCATTTTATCGGGACATAGCACTTGAAGCGGTAGATGTCACTATGTTTCATTATTTGAATGCGTTTCTTACAATTAATTCATTATTTTCTATACTTGACATACTATACTTGGGTATTGGTCTGTTAAATGTACATTATATCCTCAATGTTGGCACAAGAAATGGTACTGCCAGTACGTCCTTTATAAACGTCCATAACAGACAAATCCATCTATTAGTTTAACTTATCTTAAAAAACTTTCCTAAATTATGATATCAACACTTATTTTTTGTACATTTATTTCTTGTTTCTGAAACGATTTTACAAATTTGTGTATGAGTATGTAGTGGGCCAGAACTAAGCAAAACATTGTATACTATTATCAGTAATTACATAAAAAACGGGGATTGTTAACATATAAACGAGATTCTACCAACAAATGATCACGTAACAACGCTGAATTCAAAAACAAATGTCATCTGGCAGAATCCTTCTTTAAAGCACACTACAAATGGGTCCAACCACTTGCTTATGCTTTTAGAAGCACCTTGATAACGTTTGATTTTCAGATTTATGTTTCAAGACCGTACTAATCCACGTTTAGCCAAGAATTTCTCAAAGTTTATATGTGAACAAAAAGTCCGAGACACTGTATTCAGTGTACGGCCAGGCTTGACTACCACGGGAAAGAAAGTCTAATCATACTATCCTTCTGTATACGTAGGTCAGTTCGGAAATGTTTGATAGCGAATGCTTTTGCCAAACGGAGTAAGATTCAAGCCTTTTGTCTGTTAACCATTTTGAATGCATTGCCCACATCTACTTCATGCCGACTACCCAAATAATGTCGTGCAACCACTTTTGTAAATATTTCGCCTTCTTTCAGTCGTATGTTCCTAGGAATGTGTTCAGAAAATCTTGTAAAGATCCTACTCTCTGTTCTTCCCATTTGTTTGTAATTTTTGGTTGTATGCAGCTGATGATAATCCGTAAAATAGAATGAATTCAGTTTATTCTGCAAATCTTGTTTTTCTTGCGTTTTTTAAAATTTATTAAGAGCTTTGGTTGAGTTTTAACCAGGTAGCAATTGAGATGCTTGATGTTAAGGAGGAACAAATACATAATCCGGTGATCTTGATATATATTTTAGTTAGTGATGCTCAATTTATTAATACTGTGAATTTTACACATTCAGCTGGCTGTTTATTAACTTACATCAACTACTGCTCAGTCTAGTTTGTTTACATTTGCCTAATTAAATCATACAATTTTGATCTGAGAAATCCTTAATTTTAAATCACCTAGGTTTAAGCAGACTTTTAATCATGTTTGGTTTTGTGTCTGATATTCCGTATAAAAGTATGTAAATTTATTAACAAAATAGCTTGTTTATAATGCTTGTAAATTAAGGCAATATCGAGGCAATACGCACAGTATGCACATATGCCAATATGAGAGACTGATCAATTACAGTTCTAAACATCAATGGGAAGATTCAAGTAAAACAATATCAAGTGAATTAAACTTCACCTCATTGCACAAGAAAGTGGCTATCAAGACTCATTAGGTAAGTGGATAACGCGATGGCGTTTGAAGCGGACGGTACTGGGTTCGAGTCCCAGAGTGAACATCAACTCTGAGCTGCAGATACATCCAGCTGACGAGTCCCAAATAGGACGAAACGCGGGTCAAACTGGATTTCACTGCTAGCCACTATCCATCTTTGCGTAAAATAGCTTGTTTTGTTCAACAGTTGTCTTGTTTTCCAATATTTATGATTTCGATGACTTGCGTTAATAATTCAATCTCATGAGCATTTGTCATTAGGCGGCATCAATTTCAATTCTATTAGTTTATTTAATAACATTTGTGCATCCTCTATGATTGATCGAAAAATCCCACTGTTTTATAGATTATTTACTTGGTTTGTTAAAAAGATTAAAAAGATAGGAATAAGTCGGAGCACTTATTATATTATCTCTATGAAGATAGATCAGTCCTAATTGTACGCTGTGAAGTTATTTCATTTGGTTGAAGTTAGACATTAGCACCATATGATTCCGGCTCAGTGGTCTAGTTGGTTAAGCACCTGGCGCGAGACTGATAGGTCCTGGGTTCGAATCTCGCAGGGGGGGAGTTCGTGGATGCGCACTGCTGAGGAGTCCCACAATACGACGAAACGGCCGTCCAGTGCTCCCAGGTTTTCCATGGTTGTCTAGCATCAACTGACTCATGATCTTAATCATTGAAATTACTACAATCTCCACAAAAGATGTTTCTTTGCTGAACTAACATTTTTTAATCAGTTTATTTTGCTGATCGTAATTAATTCATTATAAACTATTAAATGATATTCTCCATTTCAAAATAGACATTCCTCATCAAGAACCTCACATAAGCTTCTTTTGTTTCATTTATATTGTGACAATTAACTATTTTTACTCTTTCTACCATTCGTTTCGTTATTTTAATTTGTATCGTTTTTTGTTTTTTGGTATGAACAAAGAGAGTCTATACCGGAATCCTTAAAAAAGAATGACAATAATAACTCAAATTTAGTTAAAGCAGATAATAAAACGTTTGTAGTAGAAGAAAAACATGAAGGTGATCTGTATAAACAGAGTGAAGATCTTGAATTAAGCAATGAAGCATATCATAGCACTGAAGAGGAAGAAGAGAACAAGAAGGGAAAAGAAAATGAAAATAATTGGGTTAAAAGTTCAACATTTCACAAACCAAATAACAATTCTGATAGAAGTAATAGAAATACAGCTGTAGTGAAGGATATTGACAGTGATTCAGTAAATGATGATGACAAAGAAGAAGAAGAACAAGAACAAGAAGAATCAATTTCATCTGATGATATTTCTAATATTTCTAGAAATAAAAATAAAAATGTAACATCTAGAAATTCTCCTGTACAACAATCATTAAATAAAAATAATGACCAGAAAAAGCAAACCAGAACCTCATTTCATAATGCTTCAAATTCTGATATTTTTAATATGAATAATGAATGTATTAATGTTGCACAAATTGCAGATGCTTTAAAAAGTTTTGACAAAAAAATACATCGTTTACATATTCGTCCACCATGGAAAGATCCAAATTCAAAACCACTTCCAAGTGATCGAACAATAGCATTTTATAACATGTATGAGGATTATTTAAAATATCGAAATCAACGACCATTTTCAAGTTTAGGATATTCAACAACAAAATGTTTGAATGATGAAATAGCTGTGCATAGATTGTATCATTCAACACTAAACCGTTTGCGTCAAAATGAAAAAATACAACTGGAAAACTATGTAAGTTTGTTATGAAGTAAATAGAGTTTATTATTTCAGTTTGAAGGTTATAAAGTCTTCTCAGGATATTTGTAAACCTATTAGAATATGGACACACGATATGATGAATCAATATTCCACTTTATATCTATTTGCTCTATATGTACTTAGGTCTTCATTATTATTTCCAGTGTTTTCCTAATTTTTGCTCTCTTTTCTTTTCTATTAATGTAAAATTTGTAAATGACAAGACCATAATTTAAGAGTGAATTAAACATATTTAAGATGGCTAATCTTGGATTTTAATGTTAGATTCACTAATCCATATGGCTAAATAGTATTTTTAGCCTTATAGTTGGTGTGAGTTCGTGCTTAAAGCCTTAGCTTTCAACTCTAAATCTTAATTCTGATTTCTCACACGCATTTATATCCTTCTTTACGTGCAAGTAGGTAGGTAAATTTCCTCAAGGACAAATGTTATGCAAATATTGTCCAACCTTGAAACTTTATTTCCATATTGATATCATATTTAAAAATTACGTAACGTAAAATATGTGCAACATTTAAATACAACAAGTTATTGTAATCGTGCGTTTGTTCAATTACATTTGTTATGGTAAATCTATTAATTTGGTTCTAAAGTTTACTCATTTAAAAGAGAGTTATATTATTATTATTATTATTTCCTTATTTGTAAACAGATGGATTTGAAATATGCTGAAACGAAGAGAAATATTTATGCATGTTATATAAAGGAGGATAGGGAAAAATAAATTTAATTAAAAGTACGTTAAAAGGAATGGTACTATAGTAGTAGCAATTTGAGAAAACACAAAGATGATGTCTTTCATGACTTTTCGTGACTCGCATTCACGTTCGAAACCGAAGGCCCTGAGTTTGAATCCATTGAGCAGGATTATGGATGCACACTGCTGATAAGTTCCACAATAGGATGAAATGGCCATCTAGTGATTCTATGTATTTAATGGTTATCAAACATCAATCGGTTCATAATCTCAATCAAAAACCTAATAATCTCCACAACCACATACTAATAATTACAATGTGCTCACTAGTGTCTAACTTCATGAGGGAATTTCTCATAATTCTAGTAAGAAACTGTAACCACTAATACAAAATATATGTAAATATACATTTATTTTAACAGCTTCTTTTATTATTATTATTATTATTATTTCTTTTCAATACTACTTAGGAATTAGCTAAACGTTTACAAAAAATTCGACCAACAACTGGTATGACTAAAGAAGAACAATTAAGAGATTATAAAAAGTATTTTATTACACCAAATTCATTATCTTCATATTATAAATCGGAATTGATTTCTTATCGAAAAAATATTCATTTTAATCAAAAATCTATTAATAATAAAAAACAAATAAACATTTTAAAACCAAATGAATTAACAACTAAATCTATAAGGAATGATTTATTATATAATAAATACCAAACAAATAATAATAATAATAATAATAATAATAATAATGATAAAAGTAATTTGAAGCGATCAAACAAAGATATTAAAGGAAAAATAAAATTTGAAAATTCTAATAATTCTGAATTGAAACATGAATCAAATTCAAATTCTTCTACAATGAATCATCAAGTTCATTATTCAAAACAATTTAATAAACCATTAACTATTCAACAACAATCTTCCAATAATCGTTCGACATCTTCATCGTCATCATCATCACCATCATCATCATCATCAACATCGTCAGGTTCATTTCATTCATCATCTGAATTATCAGTTAAATAATATATAACTTTTCAACTTTTCGATAATGTAATAAGAAGACGGAGATGATTAGAACTATGTGATGATATATTAGCGCAATACATTTTGAATAATCTGATCACACACATTTACTTGTGAAGAGCATTTATATATAAAAGTGTAAAAGAGCGTGTACTAAGGTTTATTAAAGCCTTAGCTATACGAAAATCCAAACCCCCTTTGTGTATTCAAAAACAGTTTCTTCTTACCTTAATCCTACCCTGGTAATATTGACTTATTATTATCCAGAGTGATTACGTTTTAAATTGTGTTCAGATTATTATTATTATTATTATTATTATTACTCTTATTATTATCCTTGTCTCGTCTTACCCTCTATTTCTAGTTTAGTTAACCTTTTAATTTTTATATATAAATGTTCTTAACAAGTATATGTGTGTGTGATCAGATTGTTCAAAATGTATTGCGCTAATCTATCATCACATAGTTCTGATCATCTTCGTCTTCTCATTGCATTATCGAAATTTTCAACTTTTCTTCAATTTATTTATTCTGGTCTTTTCTTTTCTTTTCTTTTCTTTTTTTTTTTTTGAGAAAATAAATTGTATTTTTAAATACGGTGAATAAGATTTCAAGTTCAAAATTTAATATAAACTAACAAATATTTAAACAAAATAACAATTGAACAATTGAAAAAAAACATTTTCCTTAAAATTCATATGGGATATTTATCAAATGATAAGTATGTTATAGAAATAATATCAATATAGATTATATTTAACCCTTTTCTTTTTTTTTCTAATGATTCCTTTTTTTTTTATAAAAAAAATTGATTCATCTTAATCTGTCCCATTGTATAACAGAATACATGGAAGTTGATATTGATTATTTCTGAGCATGATAGATAATCTATCTGAATGATTGTACGTTTGTTTGTTTGTTTGTTTTTTTTTGAAAAATTTACCTTCTATCAATTATTTTATAGCTTTTATATTTTTAATCAAGTATCAATAACCGAGTATTTTGTAAATTATACATCTATATCTATACTGCTTGAAATTTTTTTAGAAATGGGATCAACTTAACTTTGTGTTTAGTTGGTTAAATATCTTCTTTTTTTTTTTTTTTTTGAAAATAAATAATACAATGTGTTTTCGTTATCGATTTCTTTGTTTGTTTGTTTTTTTCATGGATTGATATTTTTTTTTTTGATATTATAGAAAATTAGAAAGTATTAAATATCTATCTGTTTTTTTTTTGAATAGTTCATGTTTATTGATGAGAACAAATTTCATTTATTGATTAATTGATCTAGTTATGTTATTTTTTTTTTTTGTTTCACTGAAAGCTATAAATGTTGAATGATATATGTCAGTCAGTTAGTCAGTCAGTAACAACGTGAAACTTCGTACGTACTTACGTACATCACTTCGAGTTGCCATATCATATTAGCACAGAGATTCAGTTGTTGATTCAAATCCCGTAGTGGTAGAGGTATTGAAAGTATAAATACTAATCGGGAACATTAGAGTTTGATGATGTTATTTAAGGAGTATAATTCACTGGAATAAATTTGAAAAGAAAATAAAGGACATGAAGAATTCAGAAGATTAGAATTTGAGAGAACACAAAGAGTGGATGCACCTGCGCCATTGCAAACGATTTTGAGCTATGTCATTCAAGATCTCTAACCATCGGTTACTATCGTCTCGCGGTCCCCAACCAGGTAGTCTACACCTACCAACATGGCTCAGTCCACTTGTCAGAGACTTCATGGATTTGTTCCATGTTTTGGTTTGTTTTTTAATATCTTTATTATATGCTTAGATTTTTGATGGGGCCCTTTATTTTGTTGTTATTTAGATTAGATGATATTTGTTGAAGGGTTTTCCACTTTAGTGGCCCCCTTGATCTGACTTTAATTTGATCATAATGAATGATTGTTATTGAAATATATATGTCGCCTATCCTCTTATATAATTATTGACTTAAATCGTGTTAGTCGATAACAGAATTAAATAAGTTAAATAACGAGAATAATGGACTTTTGAATACACATATTTTGTATGTGAAGTTAATGGAATAGAGAGAAGCGAAACAATACGCAGTGGAGATGGTGGGTAAGCTAACTCCCCTTTTAACCAAGCGTTAATCAGTATTTATAGGCATACAAAATAAGTTACAGACATGCGATGAGTAATGGGATAAGAAGTGTACACACACCTACGCGGTCATATGAAAACAGTCAAGATTGATAAGCGAATAATTAACAAGGTCAGTATGTGACTCAAGTAAAATGAATAGATTGAGCTGTCCGAAAGTTACAATGCGGTATTTGGACTTAACATAATAACTGACACTACAGATTCCTTCTAGTTTCATATATTGGCTTTGTTTTCATAGTTATTTTATAATTCAGTCAATTATTTATTTATATTCAGACTAAGTTCCGTCATGGTTTTTATGATATTATATGATTGAAGACAATCTGGAAGAAACCTTAGTTTACACACGTTTAATGTCGATGGAAATATTGCATCATGTGCTATTTGAAACTTAATCACCAATTTTCATAAAACTGGCAAATCATAATTTCATCAATCAAATTCAATTAAAACTAAGGTCTAAACAAACTTGAAACTGATCACTACTCAGTGACAAATTAAATATCTCAATATGACAAGAGGTAAGATCAGGTTCGATTAGTTCAGTGATAATACTATTTCTAGGTCAAACTAAACTTCACAAACCCTTTAATAGGACATAAGTTCTCAAAATATTTTGGTTTTCTTTATCCGAAAACTGCTATATTATCATACGTCTAGATAGATTATTTAGGGGTCAATCATTTAGTTTGGTACCTACTTTAAAATGAAATCTTATTATTAAGCTAGAGTAACGCTATTTAAATAGTGGTTTCTGTAATTTATAGATCTCACTGTATATCTAAAAAAATGTTAGAGAAACACCAGCAGTCAGGTTTCACTAGAGAACTAAAAAATAAGTATTCGAATAACTAACAAATTACTCCTGAAACCCTTTTAGGAATTCTTAGCATCCTTTCTCTTATAAAACTGTCTAAATTTTAAGGAAGATTGTGATTTGTACAGATTCAGTTTATCATGAGGTTCGGTACTAATTCTGTCATCATCTAATTTTTAAAAAGTTGATTTTTGTGTGCAAATTTCACAGTTAGCATTTCAGTCTGATCCACAGAATGGTGATTTCTATACATGTTGTTAATTCATAATAAAGAGTGTCTCTTGTGATCATACTGCTATTATGTCAAACATTTTACATTGTCACATTGTATTTTATAATAGTTACCACATAAATCTTACCAATTAATTTGTAATATAGAGTTGTTGTCAGCTAATGTAGGCGGCGGTGGACTAACTCATTTCATATTTGGTTAACTTCACAGTGATCATATACAGTTCTTAGTTAACTACTAGTTAAGTGTACCAATATTATCAGGTTAAATGTTTTTGTGGTGATTTTGTAGAATCTTAAACTTCCCATTTTGAAAAATATCACAAAATGACTGAGTCGGGAAATTCAGACGAGTGGATTTGGTATTTGATGATTGAAAACCGTTGTGCTCACTGTGATACTTGATGACCTAGATTCGTTCCATTGTATAATCGCAAATATAGTTTACTGAGAAATTTAAATGTACAACAAAACAGTTGTCTTGTTCTGGCTATATTCTGATGTTTATCCAGTTGATGTCATATAGGGACAAAGATCTTTTTCTAAGTAGTGTCTTATTATCATTAGGGCAATATGCTGAAACCAATACGTTAGAAATCATGAAATTATAAAATGAGTTCTGGACACTAAAAATGCGCAATTTAATCGTAAATACTGAACTACTAATAAACTCAGGTGGTTAAAGCTTCTAACAGACATGTCATTCATTCACATAATACTATTGTAGTGAACAAGAACACCAACTTCTCAATAAAATCTGAGAACCATATATTAAATCATTAATTTGCAAAATATCAATTCATCATATCAAACTTGACTGTTCCTGTTGCAAACATCAATTCATTGTCTCAAATTTCATTGTTCATGCGTTTTCATACAAATTGCATTGTGTTCCCACTCTTCCTTTCTTGATCTTCCCTGCATCTTCTGCTGCCAAACATTACGTTCCTAACTCGCATCATATACTACTTATGTCTACATAAGAGGATTGATACACTGAACATGATGATAGAAATCATGAAAATGTCAAACCGAAACATTAAACAAGTTCTATGGGTTTAACAAGTCTTAATCGTTTTTGTGCAACGAGGTATGTATACTTTAATAACTTGTTAACTGTTTTACCTTTCTTCAAGTATTTAGGCATGGTTATTTTGTATTCAATTTCACTTCGTTAGTTTACCTAATTTCACGTCATTACTTTAATCATTTGTATTCTCTTCTCAATATTATTCATTTTTGGATTCTGAATGATTATGCCAATTAGTCTTTAAAGTTTTGTGTTATTAAATTTATCTTTGGGTCACATAGTTTGACCACATCAAAGAGTTAAATTACAAATCTCTATCAATATGACAATAAGGTCAATAAAACAAATCAAATAATGTTAGTAAGACAATGTAAGTCTTTGAAATGAAATACGATTAAGTATCAAAATTGTCATCACATAAATAATTAATTATAAAAATATAAACAAAAAATATGCTTTTTAAACAAAGATCGATAGTGGATAGCAGTGAAATCAACTCTGGGATGCAGGTACATCCAGTTGACGAGTCCTAAATAGGGTGAAACGAGCGTCCTGGATTCCACTGCTAGCCCCTATCCATCTTTGCCTAAAAAAGCTAGTGACTTAAGGCTATATCGAGGCAATCCGCACAAGATACACATATGCCAACATGAGACTGATCAGTTGCAGTCCTAAACACCAATAGGAAGATATAAGTAAAACAACACCAAATAAATTTAGAAAATATGATTATTTTCGTAGAAAGAAAAGGATAAAACGGACTAATAATAATTTCAGTTATAGAATTCAAAATTACCTGAAACTATATAAAGTATTTGAAGTTTACAAACCAACAAAATTTCACGACTATTAATCGTGAAATTATCTGTTCAGTTTCGCAATTTTCCTCTAAACGAATCAGGTTGTCCAGAAGAAGTTTTTAAAAATTTGAAATAAGAAAATATTTTAACAGTTATGATACATTTCAATGGTTGAGATCATGAGTTAATTGAAACTAGACCACTATAGAAAACCTGGAAGCATTGAACGGCCGTTTCATCCAAATGTGGAACTCCCCAGCAGTTCGCATCCACGATTCCGCCTCACAAAATCCGAA